GTGTGATAATATCAGGTCTATTTTAGATTTCGGGGGGACACGTTCGGAGGGATGGGGAGTTTTATATCGAGTTTCTGCAAGAGCATGTAGAGACGGAAGCCTGGACGATGGGGTAACTATGGTCTGAATTCGTACGATATCCTGGGTCTTGGATGAAGAACAACTTGGCGCAAAGGAGTATTTATGGCTAATACTTTCTCTCCATAGGAACCGATTACAATATCTCGCCTTTGACAGAGATGCATGGCTCGGCCAAGAGGCATTCAATGCGACTCTTGCGGTAGACGCTTGTGCGGATCCGTATACTGGCATTGTGTATGGTATTCAATGACCAGGGGATCGATGGAAACGCTGAATCATAAACAATACACCCATAATTTAAGATAGGATGGATGATAGACCCATACAGACCCAAAAGACAGTGTTGAATGTGCTTTCACCATGTTAAACACTTCTCGAATGTCAGGCCAAGGAAAGTGGCAGATTCGCCGAAGGGAAGTTGATGATCTCCCAATAAAGATCAGGATTATTATGGAGGTGATATATTCTACAGAAGTGCATGCAACTGGATTTTGAGGTGAACTTGAATCCAGTTTTATTGCTCCATTCTTGCAATTTGTTGAGGACAAGCTGTAGCTACCTCTCAATAACTTGCATACTCTTCGAGGAGCAGAATATGCCGAAGTCATCAACGAAGAGCGATGCTTTCACAGGCTCTCGAATTACTGATGCGATACTATTGATAGCAAGGGCAGAGTGACACTCAGAATTGATTATTAGTAACACCGTTTTCTAACTGGCGACTTGAAGATAACGTGTCACCAAGACGGACGCCGAATGATCTTGAATGAAAATCTACTAGAAAGAAAGGGAGCCGTCCCCTACGGTCCCAAGAATACAAGGTGCAAAGAATGCCGTACTTCCAGGTGATGTCATACGCTTTCTCAATGCCTAAAAAAATGGTTACCAAGTTTTGTCGTAGCATGAAATAAGTGGAGATCTGTGCGGCAAAAGACACTAAGTGGTCCACGGTAGTGATGTGCTTCCTGAAACCGCACTGAAAAGTTGTAAATAGATTCCAGAAGCCAGACCAGAAGTTTGTTTACTATTCGATCTCAAAGCGTGCACACAGCTTGTGAGTGAGATTGAGCGGTAACTTGAAGGGATTGTTCTGTCCTTTCCTTCTTTAGGAATTGGAATAACAATGTCTTCACGCCAAATGCTTGGTAAGAAATGTTTATCCCAAATCAAGTTGAAAATGCGGAGGAGAAAAGATAGAGCATTTTCCGGCAGGTGTTTAAACATTTGATTATGTATCTGGTCCGGTTCTGGAGTAGAATCTTTTGCACAAAATACATCCATGGAGAAAGGAGCATTGTAGTCTTCCTTCACGCCACTCGAGAAATCTACTCTGCAGTTCTCCATTCTTCTTTTGGTTTTCAGAAAGCTAGGAGAGTAGTGTACGGAGATAGAGATATGCTCGTAGTGAGAAGCCAGTTCTCCAACTATATCTTCTGGTGATGCGAGATTTCCATTTAACAGAAGTCCTGAGACAGACTGCGAAGGAAGTCTTCCACTGATCTATCGAACCTTTAGCCACACTACTTTAGGGGGCGTACGGCAAGAGAGTGATGAAATATAAGCTCTCCAGGACTCGACCTTACTTTCCGGTATGGTCAATCTAGCTCTGGCTCATGATCTTTTATAATTGATCAGATTATCCATGGTTGGGAACGTACTAAGCTTTGCCAATGCCCGTTTCCGATCTCGCAACGCGGTGGCACTGCCGGCATTCCAACATGGCACGGGAGGATGTCGTGGGTGAACCGATGACTTTGGGATGACAATTGAGGCCGCATGAAGAATGGCATCACTAAAATGGGCAACCGTGGCATCGATATCGAATGGTCAGATTTCTGATATCTGTATTTCTTTCTCGAATGTTTCCCACGCAGCTCGGTGAATTAGCCAGCGAGGATGACGAGCAACATTTGGGTCGGGAATATCGAAATTGACCAAAATGGAGAAGTGGTCACTGCCGCGCAGGTCACCAAGGAAAGTGCACTCAAAGATGGTAGAGTGATGGACTACAGAGAGCCAGATCGACGGACAAAAAGTTTTTGAAGCCATGGGAAAAAGTGTGCTTTCGCCAGTATTCAGAAGAATTAAGTTCTGGTTGCCAATATATTTTCAAATATATTGGCTCTCAAGCAGGTCCTAGTGCCACTGCAGACGGGATTGTGAGCATTAAAGTCCCCCACAGAAACAAAAGGGGCGGGCAACTGAGATAACATATCACGTTCCTTGATAACATATCTGATATATATTCAACTCGACTTGGCCAGGCGGGATACAGACGTTGCAAATAGTTATTGATATAGTGCGGAAGTTCACACGAATGCAAGATGTCCGAGTACGTTTATTTATTTGGAGTCTGTTACAAATTAACGACTCCGCCATGTGCCCGGAGGCCTTCATCAATATCTTGCCTGTAGCAACAAAGGCTACAAAGAGAGAGGGAATGCTCAGGAAGGTGTATTTTCCGCACGCATATGCCGAGTCTATAGTGAGACATTATCAGCTTTAATTCGTCTAAACGGGTGTCATTTTGGTTCCACGAGATGAGAGCAATAACTTTTATTGAAGTTTGAAGTTGAAGCAGATTGAAGTTTTTCGAAAACTCAGAAACGCTTAAACGCTATTTTCTTAAAAAGTGCTCCAAATTTTTCAATAAAAATTGCCATTTATGATGAGTTTTATTCTTTTTTAATATTGTTAAAGTAATACTTTGGTTCTATTAGTAAAGCGAAAAATTGAGAAAATTTCAAAAAATGTACTTTGGGCAGCGATAGATGGCAGCTGCCAAGAGTAAAGCCAGTCCACACAAGAAAATTTGAAAAATTTAGTAAAAGAAAGTCTGTGCCATTCTGTAGCACAAGCAGTTCTATTCAACTGGACAAGTTAACTTTGCCTGGTAATGAAGAAATCCTTGACTAGTTGCTGTTCACGAAAACTTTGGAGATCGACACTGAAGGTGAATCAATATTTCATGTCCCGAGTGATTTTCTTTTAAGGAAAAACGATTTAACTCACGAATATTATTTCGGGGGCAGTAAGTGGCACTCCCGCCATGTTCGGGTGATATAAAGCCGTCTTAAAATAATTATGTCACGAGCAACTGTAAACCACTGTGTCATCCATCAATAACACCTGGTAGTGAAAAATTTGAGTGAAAGATTTCTTCACCAATCGCTTCAATTTGTAATTAAAGCAGTTAACAAAATAAGAAGCTATGCATTTTATACCCATTTATTTGCACAATTGAGTGACGAAAATTATGAAGTCTTCCAACTGTTGCTCTTTCAACTGAAATACACTGGTTATCAAAGGGGGCATATTTAACAAGATTTTACTCTTTCTGAAAAGTAATGATCCAAATTTAAAAGAAAACCTGATCAATTTGAAAGCAGACATCGCATATTTAACAGATTTGTTCAAAAATTGCATGTCATTAACTTCCAGTTACAAGGAGCAGCCTAAATGTAATAAAAACACTGGAAGTAATTTCTTGGCAAATTGAGATTTATGAAGAAAATATTAGTTGGCGCGAATTCTCCCAGTTTCCAAACTTCTCACAGGCAGAACGTTTTGATGACGATTTGCAAACATACGTTCAACATTTAAATGCCCTGCATGACGACTTCAAAAATATATTTGTAGATATTCTGACAATGGAAATACCACCATGTCTTAAAAACCGAAATGGCAAATGTGGTTTTGCAAGACGAGCTACTTGAGCTTAGCACCAATGAGGAGCTGAAGCTAAAGTTTAAAAAGGCTATCAAAAATTTTGGCTGCAGGCAGAAATTCCCCGAAAAATATCCTGGGCTATAGGAAATTGCGAGACAACTTTTCATAGCGTTTCCTTCATCATACATGGTTAAAAAAGTTTGAGTGTAGGAAAAGAAAAAAGAAGAAGGAAATTAAAATAATTACTATTTTTTAATTGTTGATTTGCATTGTTGAAGTTATAGTACGTCATTGATGTTCAATTTTAATAAATAGAACACAAGAAAACATTCTATTTCAATTTTTATTTTTTCTGCTCCAAATTTAGTGTTGGAACTCAGCCGTGAAGCAAATTTCTATCGTTAGATCTAATCTTCATGAGTTTTGGGTCTATAGTAGAAATGTAGCAACAGGGGGTCCACCAAAACCAGTAAGATTTGGAAGTGATCTATAAGAAAAAAAAGGTTGAGAACCTCTGACTTAGATGGTTGAATCAACTTCCCCCAGCCAAGACCTCCAGGCCTGACCACCACAGGCCATCTATAAATTACATAATGCAGATTGGAAGTTCAATACCCCCTCTCCCGCAGGTAATGCATCTGTAACACGCGCTTGACCCTTGTAAATAATTAGGTAACTTTTGATCCAATACCCCTCCCAAACACAATAAGTAAAAATAAATTATAAAACAAAAAACAATGTATTAATTTTATTTGTTGTAAATTAAAATTTCTGACAAAGTCAGTATTAATAATTTATAAAATACAGACAGAATTGGCGATACTGACTGCACTTTAAAATAAGATTGGAGACAATTTTTGAGTGAAGGAAGGACATATTGACAAGCAAATTTCTAACATGCAATGCACACACTGTCATGGATGTCTTTAGAACGAGAGAGTAGTGCACCAATTTAAGACTCTAAAAAACACTATAGATCAGTTTAGAGTATCTTTTTGTAATCTAACAGATTCAATCAATTTATTATCATTGATGAAAAAATATTTCAATTTATTGCAACAATTTATACATCTTTTGTAAGTAATTAATTAAATTAATTATGGAGTGTGATGCACAAGGTGATACATAGTGACATGAGAGGTAGGACTGCCCAACATGCCCCCACACATAGGTAAACAAGAATGCCTACATACGACTCGAACTCACCAAACTAAGTTCACTTCAGCACTAGTGCCAAGCAACCTCTGCCACTAAACCAACTGACCCATTACATCTTGGCTGAACAATAATTCAATTCAGACTAATACTGAAGCACTCATGAATGCTGTAAAAAAGTCAGACTTTATTTACTTCAAGCAAATCAACAATACATTTGTGACTACCAAGCTTATATCCCCTCAAATCGTGCCAATATGCAAATGCAATATGCATACTTAGAACTCAACAAAAATTCATGTATTCCTAGAGAAATGTTTTCTCGTAAGATACCTGTACAATATTAATTATTTATTCTATTTTCTGATCCTGGACATGCATCTATAGATAGTATTTCAAACAATTCATTTGATATGAAACTTTCTTTCTTTACAACTTCTTTTCTTCTCAGTTACCAATGGAGATAGGTTGTGTGAACTTGTGAAACCACTCAGAAACGAAGATGAGGCTTATGTTTGATCATGTGCCTGCATGGAGAAATATGTGTTAATTTGGTACACCAACATAAAGGAGAATTATTACAAATGTCTGAGATAACACTTACTTATCCAGCTTCTCCCAAAATACCATAAGAGCAGCACGATCCAAATGTCTTTTTGTTCGAGATAATTCTATCACATGTACTGCCCAACGACCAACATTAGAATCCAATCTCATTTCATCATATTTGACGTGAAAAGCACAAACTGGAAAGAAAGAAGAAAAAAATGAGTGCTGAAAAAGTAAAGGTTTCAATCAAAAGAACATAGAAATCAGTAAACTTCTGCTCGAAACATCAAAAATATTATTCCAAAGATTATAACAATTTAATTACTTTTTCTGAATATAAGTACAATAACTTCAAGTTACTTTTGCGAATTGGGTAATTCTTACCACCATTTCATAACTTCTAAGCAAGATGTAAATGACATACTATCTAGGAAAAAAATTAATTTAAGTAGTCATAAAAAATGTAATAGAACAAAAGAGGTAATTATTTATGAAATATCAAATACAGCCCAAAATGCAGAAGAGACAAAATTTTAAAAAATGTAATAAAAATTATTTTGGGGAAAATGACACATAACAAATTAACAAAATGTTACTATGTCACTATACATCTCTCAAAATAGGGGTCTAGAAATGTGTCTCATTTCATTACTTTACTTTGTCTATACTTTACACTTAAGAGTAATGGTAACTTCTCAAAAATGATGTGACAAAGTCAAACTTTTAAATTAATAATTCATTATGATGAATTCTAGAATACAATTTGATTTCTTTAAAACAAAATTTAAGTTTTTTTTCAGCTACAGCATGTTTATTCAAGATTAGGTACACTGTGAATCCAGAAGTCTTTCACATTTTGTAGTCAACAATCCGTTGAGTTTTATTCATCAATTTTTATTTAGTATTTATTACACTTGTATATCTGATCTGCAAAACCAAGAAAGCTGGCAAACCAAACTAATTTGGAGAAGTCTTCTTGACATTGTTCTATTTTGCAAACTCAATTTCTATGACTAACTTTTCACTCAATCTGCGTGAAACAAATTGTGCGCAGTGAAATCTACGTCTAACGTCTGTGGGAAACCCATTGATGGACCTGTGTATAACAACTTGTTACAAAAACTGTACAGGGTAATGGAGTAAAAATACACTGGTGCTCTCTTGCACGTTATGGACACTTGAGTCTCCAAAAATGTAAATATCCATTCTAGCATTTTCTGAGACTTCATTCACAAGTGCGACCATTTTATACAAAGTAAATTTCCTCATGTACGTTACCATTGTATTCAGAGTTATATTATGGCCTCTACCTCTAATATATCCATTAACTCTAGCAGCGTAACTAGGAATCAGCAATGAAATCTGTGAGTGAATATAAGGAAAATCTAAGATATTTTTCAAAACTTTGAAAAATAAACCAACTTTTACAAATTGACATCTCTTGAATAGACTTGAATACTAAATTTACTATTACGATATTTGTTTCCGATTCCTCTAGGCAAGTAAACTCTGATGTCTTTAAATTCTTAAAACTTCAAAAATCCGTGGGGACATGTCTGAATAGCAACTACAAGATACTGAGATCACATGATCATATTGGAGAGGCATTTTTTAACTCGGAGCACACTAATGAAAAGAATGCTTTATTACTCTGGTAGATTTTAGTTTCCGCCCTAGTCTGATAACACAAACCATATTCTGGAGATATGATTTGTTTGTGGGTGATCTGGGCTGTCCGGGTGACGCCGCGTCGAAGGCTGAGTTGCCGACGTTTTGACCATCCTTTCGATGGTCGAAACGTCGGCAACTCAGCCTTTGACGCGGCGTCACCCGGACAGCCCAGATCACCCACTTTACTCTGGCTGCGGAAGCCTATGACTTCATATGATTTGTTTGTTGATACAGTCTGCACTGTATTGCCCCACCTCATACTCCTATTACATAAAAGTGAGTGCATATGTTTGTATGTGCTACAAAAGCATTAGAACATCTGAAGAGATTTCTCCCAAATTTGGCATAAATACTTTTGAGGCATCAATAATGAAAAATATTGCATGTTGCTATTAAAAACTGTTACACCAAAAGGTTGATAACATTCTGTTAAAAGCAACCCCAATGTATCAGGGCTTCACTGTTGCTGGGAATTGTAGCGTGACGCAAGGCGGAGTCATGGAGAATTGAACAAAGCAGGCAAGCGAAGCAGAATAAGTGAAAGATAAGCGGACGGAGGTGAAGTGAAAGAGCAGCCTTAGCAGAAGGAAGGGAAAAGTAGAGAGTAGAGGGAAGTAGTGCAAGCAAGTGCCGTAAGGTAGCTGCACGAGCTTTCAAGTGCTAGTACCATTGTTACTTCGTTTTGCCTGGTTTAACTATTAGTCACCACAACTAGTAACCTTTAGCAGTCGGCAATCTTAGTTTGCTGATCACTTGAACATGTTATTTTTCACCTATTATAAATTACCGTTATTACTAGTCAACTGTTATTGAAGAAAAGCTCTTAAGCTTATCTCTAATGTGAATGTCTTCCTCAAAAATACTTATTTTCAGGTAACCCTATAACCGGGAACCTAAGCTTTGCTCCCAGCAACTGTGCTGCATGCTATCCAATGCTTTCAGACAGTTTGGAAGCCTGATGGTCATCACATCAAGTATGTTTTGTAGGCTAATTGAAAAGCTAACAGAAACCTCACCAGTGGATTTGATTATTCTTTAATAAATAGGTAATAATAGCTCTTCCACATTTTGACCATTTTCACATTACATTCCAATATGTGTGATCACTTGCTTTGCATATATATTTAAGTGAGGAACATTACATTATAACCACTTGAATTGTTTTATTTAATCTGGAGAGGACACAGTTGAATTTTGAAATTTTGAAATGCCAGTTGAAATTTTTGAAATTCTAACAGTCACATTACACAAAGGATTTAAAAAAGCTTTATTCCCTTGCGGAAATTAGCTCTCTTGTTCTATCACATGAATAAAACTATTTAAATACATTGTCATAAATATTAAATTTCTATTATCATCTATTACCACAAGAAGGAAAATATATTTTACATTACTATTACCATCATATTTAATTATACATTTTTGTTCTACTTTAAATCACAATGATGATATTTGTAAACATGTTCTATTAAAAAACAAACCATTGTCAAAATAAAATGGTTACATACAATATTGTCTTTCTATACTTCAATACACTTGTATTTTTGTTTAATTTATTTAATACATTAGCAGACAAAGAAAACTGAGTTGATTAACAGAGTGGGTAAGTTAGGTACGATCTTGGTTCCAAATGTACAATATCGCATTCTTCCAAAGCATGATTATTCAACAAATTTTTTTTTTTTTTTTGAAATAAAATATCTTATCTTACAACAATATGAAATCCAGGAGCTTTCAGTTAGCAATGTTCAAACAATAAGAAAATACAAACATCACCTACTTTTTGAAAAAATCTCCACAGGATTGCCATCCCAGGGCCATCCTTTGAACTGCCAAGCAGGACCCATTACAAATACTGCGACAACTCTCTCCCAATCAGCGTTGGTCAATTTCTGAGGATTGTCTATTACACGGTATGGTACAGTCAAACCACCTTCCTTTCGTCGCTGTAATAAAATCTCATTATCTCTTTTGGCTCCCATAGCTTTTTTGTTTTCCGTACTTACATACCTAGAAAAAAACAAATTTGTTAAATGAAAATACAATAACAAACATAAAACTTAATAGAATTTACAATATTCATCAAGATTTGTACAGTTCTTTCTAAAACTAGTACTAACACATAAAATTTCACAACCACCATTTGCAAATGAGTGAGCTTAGCAGCTCATTCCAACTTTTAAAATGAAACATTTCTATTTATTTCAGAAGATCTACTGACATCAACTTACCTGAGGTCCTGAAGAACATCTTTTGCATTGTACATTGTAATTAATGAGGTTGTTGCGGCTGGTATAATGATGATAGGAGTACGAGACACACGCTTATTTGCTTGTGGTACAATACGTGCCTGTAAAATTCACATTTCTTAAGACTTTGTTATTAACAGACCGTAAGAATTCTAGAAAAAATGAAATTCTATGAACTAATTCTTTCAAAACCAATCTGACCTAAGACTGGATTTTACTGCTGGTATCTCACAGCACAAACTTTAATATTTGTACATTTGCACTTTAAGCTATACTTTATTTCTAAACAACGTAATGGATCACCTTGTTTCCATGTCTACTTCCGAAAATATAAAAGCATTTTTAAGGAAGGTAATAGTACAGTCTAAAACAATTAAAAATGATCAGGATAGTTTGAACACTAGTAACAAAACTAAACCAACGTGAAATATCATAAAAAATAAGACCACATCATCTCAGTGCTTTGTAGAGAATGTCATTTTAAAAACAAATGAAAGAAGTAAGTAATCCAGTGAAAATTGCAAACCTCTTCAACCAATGCTTATCTAGAATTGCTGTTGTGCTCACAAAGGGACTAAAACCACAATATTCAACATCATATGCTTCCTTAAAGAAAATGACAACATTTTTATTTCAAAAATATCTTCCAGTGAAATACCCAGAATAGTCAGTAATAGTAAAAATAGATTAAAAATCAGCAAATTTCTCTAATGATAGTTTTCTCAGAAATATTGCAGAGGCTCTTCTGTATGCAAATAAAAAAATTCTCACAAAAATTTTAGCATTTTCATACTTTCAACAGCGATTTAGAAAATCAAAATCTTCGGAATCTGCTATTTTTTTAGGTCTGACTCATGATTTTTTTATTGTACAATATAGTATATTCAAATAATATGATTTGAGAAGTTTCAAACTGATATCGTAATAACAAATTAATTGTTAATGACAGAAAAACTGTTTCAATGCATTTTTGTGTTTTAAACTAACAATCCCATGCTCCATTGAAATGAACAATATGCAATTAGCTGATGTTAAAGAAACAAAATTTTTGGTCTCGCAATTCAGTCAAACCGCAAGTGGAATATCCACATAACTGAATTAAACACCAAATTAAGTTCATTTGTAATGCATTCAAATTTTTTTTCAAATTCTAGCAGATTTGAGAAAAAAATTATTCCAATAATACAGAAATGCCATCCACATAATTCCTGCAAGCCTCTATTCAGTAAGCTTGGAATCTTACCGTTGCCTTGCTCTTTTGTTTACGAATTTGCAGTTTTTGTCAAAACTAATTTACTTAACGGTGGGAACAAATTGTCATGTAATACTGATATTTATAACACACATCATAGAAAACACATTCATTATGTGTCAGTATCAACAGCTCATTACAAGATCCACATATATTACATGTATGTTACTTTACAACACATTGCCATAAAACATTAAAAAATTAAAATCAGGATGAGCGCAACAAAAATGTCAGAGCCAACAAATCTGAAATTGTCAACTCTAACTCTTCATGCAAGCATTGTTTAACTGTCATAAAGTTGTGTCTGACCACAGTGAGTGTCCGAGAAACAGTTTGTCTGCTATGTATCATTCGTACATGAACTTTATCGCAAACAGCCTCATTTCAAAATTGACTATGCTATGCATTACACCCTGAAATGTGGTAAGTAGAATTCTAAGTATAAATATTGCTTTGTTTACAGTCAATTTCTGTGATATTAATTAAAAATAGTTAATTTACTATGTACTACAAAATAATATTGAAAAAATTATTTTTTCTCTAATGTTTAGGTGTTTCACATACATGTTAATTTATTTTTTTACACTCCTTAAAGTCGTGTAACTAATCTAATTTTTTTAATGCTGCACTGTTGTTTTTGGTTATTAAAGAAGTTACTTGTGTTTAAAAGTTATTTTATAATTTGAAAGGGTGATGTACATTTTAAAGTCAGTCTTTCTGTCGAAGATGTTTTACAAATGTTGGATGCAAATCAGGGTAAGAATAAAGAAAATAACTTACAAGTACTAGAAATTATTGCTCCTCCTGAAGCAGTTGAAATTACTGATGAAAACAGTGTGAATGAAGTGGAATGTATTTTTAAGTTTATCAAGAGAAAAACCAAACTGCATTCAAACCTGCCTCGCATTCAAACACCTGAACATTCTTGCACTGCTAGAATTGCAACAAAGCTAGCATTGTGACAACACATCTAAGAATGAGTGTTCTGTGAGACTGAACTCAATGGATTATTGAGGATTATTCCGAATGAAACTACTAATCGATGAAATTAAGACAAACTTCATTCACAAATTCCAGCTGGCTTCTGAACACACTAATTTTCATGAAGAGATAAGATTCATATTACTTACTGAACTGACCAGACACAAGGAACCAAGTAGTATTTCTGTTAAATTTCATTAACAAACACCAATCTGATTATTGGAACCAAACATATAAGGCTTATGGGGAAATCTGATCGTACACCTCTATCAATAATAAGAGGGCACATCCACCTCTCAAGGAACCAAAGCCAATCTTAAAAAATTATTTCACAGGAAAGTATTTCACAAAAGTAAACTCATTTCTACATCATAAATGCATAGACTTAGTGTATAGAGAAATCAGTGTAAATCTATGGTTCTCAATCAAACATTGTATTAGTGTGCCACAGTGTATTAACATGGAGTCTTAAAAAAGTAAAATTCCTCAAGCCTTGGATGGCTTCAAAAGTTTCCCATCTCTTACAATACCACCCCAGAGCATAAGCCTCTGCAAGGTTTGAAAGACAACACCTCAGCAAGACATGACCTTATTTACCTACATTTGATCAAACACTGTGTAATGTCACTAGCCTCGCCAATAACCAATGTACCTTCCATGATGGCAGTATTCCCACACATCAGCCTCAAAGATGGGTGAACTATCTACTAGAAAAGAAAAATGCAGGCCACTAACTACGGTCCAAATTCCTTGACGTAACCAAATCTGAGCATCATTGAGAATCCAGAATCATTTTATCATTTGAACAGAAGGAAATAACTTACTTCTGCGTTGCAACCAATTAACACAGATTTATTTCGGAAAGATCAATGATTATCAATCTTGTTATGTACCATCTTTATAGGACTTGTATTTTATAACTCATGCATCCCAATCACTTTAAGATATTGCAATGCAGTTTTCATGGAAGTACACTAGGAAATGGTGCTAATGATTCTTGTCTTCATTTCTTTTTGTATCTTTTGAATTTTATGAGATAATGCAGGAATTTTGTCTTTTCACATAGAACTATGTGAAATGTGATATTTTTGAGTGTCATGGTGAGCATAAAAAGTAAAATTCAATGATACAGGAATAGAGATAAATTAGAAAAGCGTTTTTTTGGAGTAATTTTGACGTTTTTGTGTTTAACAGAACTTTTAATTGAAATGCCAACTAAGAGGCCTGCTACACAAGGTCATGCTGCACTTCACCAACAAGTGCTTGGGTGCTTCTTTGAATTGCCAATTGTACTATTTGAAAATTATATTACAAAGTTTTAACAAAATTAATATTTTTTTTACACTAAATCCTGTAAACAACAAATGAAATTTAATTAAACTACAAACAATTTTCGATTTTTTAAATTTTGCAGGACTTTAAAATTTATATAGCGATTTGATACTGCAAACTGGAATTGTAAAAAGCACTGTCATTTTCTCATTTTTAGCCCCTGATAACATATTCAAAAAAGTTCCAAATAGCATCATAGTACATTTTCAAAATTTTTATTACAAGTGACACTTCTTTGTAATATTTCTGTTGATGATTTGTGATCAGAAATATCATATTACAAAATATATTCAAAGAAGTAGTTTAAAAATGACTCCTAATGGCTTTAGATTAAAATGATGATTTTAGCAACTGTGGCATACCTAGCTGAAGCGAAACAAACATTTTCCCACATATTACAATAATAAATCAAGTTAACTGAGCAAAACTATTGTTCCACTTAAAAAATATTCATCATACTAAATTTGTTCTATCAAGTTTAATGTACTGGGTCAATCACTGCTCGTAGTTATCTCTATGCAACAGGAAAGTTAGAGCCCTTCCAAGCCGTCAAAAAGATACTAATTTAATAATTTTATCATTTGAGTGGTTTCAATGGTGTAATGGCGTATAAGATTGTTAAACCCAAATTCACAGTTTCAAACCCATCACGATCAGGTTTTTGTCCAGTTTCCCTGATCCATTGAGCAAATGCTGAGATGGCCCCCTGTTTTGCTCTGGATATAAATGTAGCTTCACTATGTGCATGTTTTGTTGAACTCTCCTTTTGCTTGTGATGGTAAGAGTAGAGGTAAGGGCGAGTTGCTATTTTGTTAGCAATGCAGAAAAATTATACTTGCAATTTGTGTACTGATGCAAATTCATTTTCTAAAACTCAAACAAAAATGACTACTCTTCAAATATTGCTAATCTTATGATTTTTAAAATTTATTTATTTATTTATGTTAAACTTTTACTCACCTTTCAACTACTTATAGGTAAAATGACTGGAAGGGATTCTGGAACTCAAGAAAATGTGCACAGATAATCTTTTCCCCCCTATGCCACATACAGTTTTTACTGTTTTTTTGACTGAATAAATCTAAATCTAAACCCAAGCAAAACTGTGGATCTTGGAGGGGGGAAAAATCCTTCACATGCCTTCCTTCAAAGGGGGAGTAAAGCCCCTGTTAGTACATTTATCGCATATAAAAGATCTTCAAGCCTAAAAGAAGCCTCGGAGCTAAATTCAAATCACGTCATCATTAGATGGTGAAAGGAGTATAACAAAATTTGCATGGACGACTGAAAAGCAGGCCTCAAGACCTGAGTCTTACCATGGAAATAAGGCATCATTGAATTGAATTTGATGGAGTTCAAAGAGATCCCTACCTCTGCAGTTGGTCGTGGAGTAGGGGCAGCAGGTGTAGCAGGAGTGGCCACTTTCTTGGGCTGGGTTCCTTCTGTCACAGACTTCAGAGTCATTCCATGGTATGTTCCCATTGTATCAATTTTAAAACCTTCAGTTTCCTTCTTCTGCTGAATAAATCTTTCTTGATCATACCGATTATAGACAGCAGGTTGGGGCACAGACCGAATAGGTGTTGCACGAGGAGTGATTACTGGAGTAGGTTGAGGTGGACGATGTCTTCCCTCTTCTCGTGCTTTGATCGATTGCAAGATTGCAAATATATTTTTAGCAAAGATCTATAAATAAAATTAAATGTACTAAGAAGGTAAGATTCTTCTAGAGTATAAAAACAATACTTAATATTTTAACATTACCGACATTCTTCAACAAAACATTACAATAATTAAAAATTGCTTACCCACCTTTCCTGCACTTTGTAAAATAGTAGTACGTGTTCTCCATTGGCGTTCTCGAGAAATAATATCTTTGGTTAAATCTACGTCAAAATCTAACATTACTCTTAAATCAGGCCCTAATCCAATATCATCATTTCCTTTAATAGTAGTCCTTTTCTTTGCAAGACGTTTAGCTTTGATTGCAGCAATTTTTTCCACAGACATGGCTTCCGATAATGATCTGTAATGTACATGACAAATAAGCAAAACAACCCTTTTGGGTCACTCAACAGATGAAGACATTTGACTCACTTTATATTGTCTACTGTTACAGAAGCTTCTTTGGGTGCATCTAATCTTGCCGCAAGTTGCTCTTTCACCTTCTGCACTTGAGTTTCCTCAAAACGAGGTTTCTTAGCCACAGATTCAAGAGAGTCATCAGCAGTTCGTTTCACTTGAGTGGGTATTTCCAGAGGAGCAGATTTATCAATCGAAGCCGACGTTGCAGTTTCACCATTAAGATATGCCAAAAGGTCTTTTCTGTCTGGTCGACGTACAACAGGAATGTTTTCCGCCTAAAGAACAGAGATAATTAATACAATACCATATTTTTTTTCAAACTGTTGAATTAACGAATTTTTATGTTTACTTACAGCTGCCTGTCGCACATACATTGAATGTGGATAAGTAACATTCTTAAGTAAGAATAAGAGGCATTCAAGAGTGTAAATATTCCTTAGGTGCGCCATCCTTGCCAGACCTAGAAATGATGTTAAAAAATCACAAGAAAAATATTAATATATGAAAAACTCAATTCAGGGAACTTTGCATTAAAAATAAGCAAAATAGGTACAACACCTTGAATCACACACAGATTCTTTATGCTACTATATACGGTATTTATTAATTTCTGCAGGGCGGTTTAAAGAACCCGGTGCACAACAATATTTACATACATTACAATTAAGGATATGAGCACTAATACAATGATTTAAAATTTTTAAAAGTAATAATAGCAATGAAATGCAATTTTTTTGGTGTCCCACATTAGTAGTTGACACTAATTTAAAACATTTGTAATTACACTGCACTCCACAATACATGCACAACTTTAAAAATCATTATATTATTTTTTAATAACCAACACAATTGATAGTAATCATCATGTTTTTAATAAGCCTATCCTATTAATGAATAAGATGTAGGATTATTTTTAATTAATTTATTTTAAGCTTTCGAAGGATGGAGTTCAAAGGCTGTTGCAGGCAACATATTCCGGTCCAGCACTGTTCTATTTGTAAAGGAAAATGTTCTATTATTTGTTCTGTCATTTCAATAGAATTTTGTGCTTGGGATCCCGACTAAAGTACATGGGTGTAGTGAATCAGCTGTAGATCTTTCCAAACTGAATAACCAGCATATGCTTTGAATAGTGCACAGAGCCTTACCTTCTTTCTCCTGACTTCTATGGATTCTGATTGTACTTTCTTCCTATTGCCAAGGGAAGCAAATTTACAATGTAGTAGTTTGCAACATACCAGATTGAACAGAACACTCAAAATCTATGTTTGTAAAGTTTGGGTAATCATTATGTATAATGCCATAATTAAAAAGGTGTTAACGAACCACTCGCTTATAATCAAAGAGAGACACGCGAATAACAAAAACTTATGGTGATGACATTTGGAAGTCTGGAATGGTAACTGCACGAACGCACAAGTATATAACTGTGGCGAATAAATGCACTTACCCCCACATCAAGTAATTGGTTTTGACATTTTTCGGCCACGAAAATTCGCCGATAATAATTTGGTTATCACGTTCCACAATTTCCTTTTTATTGACATTGCACTGCCGCAACAAACTCAGTGGGTCAGCCATCTTGAATGCTCGTCCACAACAGAGAGCCCAATCTCTCCAACACACCCGCACTCAACATTCAAGGCTCAGCTGGATTTGTACAACACAGTGAACATGAGACTACACACACAGTCTGGTAATGACCGACTCTTTTGCAGCGAACGATTGCTCCTGCCGCCCTATTATGTCACTTCAACTATACCACAGTGTATTTTCACTCATGATCACGGTGTAAGAAATATATACTTGGGTTTTAAATTTTTGGCGCGTGAAGGCCTACTTTCAGACGCTGTCGTGGGAGGAAGAGCAGTGCTGTTGCGAAGGAGTTTCTTGGAGTCTGTTTCGATGAGTGATAGTTACCAATTTAACACAGATGATAGTGTACCTCGTACGGGATTCAGCGTTTATAACGTCCCGAAAGGCAACTTCCTTTCGTATGAAGCGTTCAAAAGCAAGAAGTTGATTGACTTTTTGTTTCCTGAAAATTATGTACGTGTATGGAGAGAATTAGCGTTATTCCAGAATACGCTATAATAATAATAATAACAATAATAATAATAATAATAATAATAATAATAATGCCATTTTGATTCAATGATTTTAGATTTATTTAATCAAAAACAGTAAAAACTGTATGTGACGTATGGGGGAGAAGATTATCTATGCCCGTTTTTCATGAGTTCCAGAATCTCTTCCCGTCGTTTTAACTATAAATAGTTGTAAAAGTTTAAAAGAAATAAATAAAAATATTTTTTAACAATCGCGAGATTAGCAATATTTGAAAAAAATACATTTTAGTTCCCGAGTTATAGAAAACTTATTTGCATCGGTAAACGAATTGCAAGGATTTTTCTGCATTGCTAACAAAATAGTAACTCGCCCTTACCACTACTCCTACCATTACAAGCAAAAGAAGAGTTCAACAAAATATGCGTGAAGCAGCTTACCAACCCAAATTAAGTCGCTTGCCTTTCACCACTGAGGTTCCGGGTTCGATTCTCATAGAGTCCCCGTAGAACCTCATGTGAAATTTGTTATGACAAAACGAGTTAGCGTGCTTCACAAGGGCAACCCCTGTGAAGCGTCCTATACCTTACCGTTATCATTATTCCTTCCCAATTCTGTTCGAAATGTAGATTACGCAGGGCGCGTGGAAGACGCTACCTGTCGGCGATTCCCTGACTTGACTATGACTGACGGGTCTAGACAATACAACGGCCCCTAGAGAACGCTTACAGAGGAGGATTACTCCAGTGCACTCAATGCTCCTTACGGAGTTTGGAGACACGTTCCGATACAGACGGAACAAATTAAGAACAAAATGGTCACGATTTAGAAATTTGCTGCAGCAACTCTCAGAACAACAACCTCATTGGAGTGAGCTGAATGAAACACTAATGAACAATTCTTTTAGTGATGTCTTGTCATGACTCCCTCTTTTGTCAGCCGAATACATTTAATTTCATTATTTGGGATGATAATGTACTGTAACGTTTCTCCGTGGTGAATTAAAACACTCACAATATTTACTTTAACAAAAATGTTTATTTGTAAAGAATTATACACTAGAACTACTTGATCTATTTACAGTTATATTACGCAGTCTTTGTGTTCTTCACTTGATTATTTTCCTTACACAAGACTCCAATCTCTTGAATATTTATTTACACTGTTCACTTCTTCTACACTATCACACAGTTCGATGCACTGTCCACGGTTCACTGTGCTGACCTTAATTCCCTGCGCAGATCACAATTCACTGCGCAGACAGGGTCCACTGCACTGCTGTTTACCGTGATGCACACTTCACAGCTCAGCTTCCACTTCAGACACACTGACGGACTGACTGTTTACTACTTGACTGATTACATACACTAACTGACTCGTGGCTGCTTTAGACTACTACTTGACTACATACCCTGGCGGCCGCCGACAGTGGCGAATTTATACTTCTCGCGCTCTCGTCTCGGCACACCCGGCACTTGCTCCACCTTTCCACGCGACTCGCGAATAGCCCGGAACCGTCCAGTTCGGGGGAAGGGGGCGCCGGCAGATGACGCAATCCGCGCAGTGAATTCCAGCATCTGCTGGAATGCTAGATGCAATATTCGTTACAGTACGAATAATGTTAATTTATGTCAGAACTAGTATTAAATAACTGAATTAATACGGAACCATTTCTTAAAGAAATTTACAACGGGGTAATCTAAATAGAATAGAGAAAAGAGGATGAAATTTTACTTACCTAAGAAATAGGAAGAAAGTAAAATGAGTGTAATTAGAAATCTAAAGGATGTGATACCTATACTTTGTGTCCTATATAAAGCATACGCCTGTTATCCAGCATGGAAAGGTATCTTTAGCTGACTTAGTTCTTCCATGTACTTTAGTTAGGAGCCGTCTATAAATTACGTAACGCAAATTTGAAGTATTTTCAATACCCCCCTTCCCCCCGCTAAAACGCACCCATAACGCACTCTTGAAACCCCTAAATAATTACGTAAAGTTGGCGACAAAACCCGACATCCTTATAAACGCAATAATGAAAATAAATTATAGCACAGTAAAATAATTTGTAACTTTACTTTATTTTTCTTGTATTGGACATTAAAATTAATGATAATTAGTAGAAATTGGTTGGCGATGCTGTCTGAACCTAACAATAAGTCTGGGGCACGTTATGAGAGAAGGAAGAACGCAGGAGCGAGAAAATGTTTCATCACGGACCGTGCACACGCCGTCGTACATGTCGAATGAACGGAAGTCTATTATGCCAATTGAAATTGGTTCTAGAATATACTAGTGCTACATATAAGTTTTTTCTACGTATATATTTTCTTCATAATCTTACAGATTCAATAAAAATTTGTAGAAAAAATATTCCCATATATTGTAATAATTTACGACTAATAACATTAATTTATTTACGTTTTTATTACAAATTAATTAACATTTTAATGTTTTAGTTCCCTACTACGCAAACTAGTGATAGAACAGAAAGTCACACACTTTCCCATATTAGTTTCTTATTTCTTTTGGCCTCCGCTAGCTATTCGGATTTGCCATATACATAATGACAAATTTAAATACAAAAAATAAATAAAATGCTGAATTTATTTATTTGTCATATATTACAAACAATCTTTCCCTCGCTGTATGGCGAAATCCGACCTACCGTTGGCTATCGCGGTTTTCCCCAACCAGGTATCTTTCACTAGCGGGGCACCGCCCCAGCCCGGACAAGCTCTAAGCTCGCGACAGGTCTCCCGGTATGTGTGCTTGTGTAATGCGTGTTAGATTAAGTGCGTGTGTAAAGGGAGAGAATAAGACAAAGAAGAGGTAGGAAAAGTCGATCCGTGGCCCTTTTGTTAAGGTACTGCTCCGGCATTTGCCTGATATTGATCGGAGAAACCACGGTAAACTAGGGATCAGAGCAGCCGGCCGCTAGAATTCTCTTCCAGACAGCGACTGAATTCGACCTAGCTGAAAAGCTAGTATCGAAAATCCTGCCACCGTCGGGACTCAAACCTTGGACCTGCCAGTCAGAGGGACGGCAGTGAGATCAGTTGATGTCCTGAGCAATCTCTCCCGGTAAGTTTGTTTTAAAGTAAAGTAAACATACTATTGAAAATTATACATTAGGCAACTTTTATGTTTACTAAAAATAAAGTGTAATTAATAATTTTAAATCCAATTTAGATATTTATTCAAAAATAATATTATTATTGCTTGGCACAATGCATCCTCAATGTGGAAATGAAGCCTTTTATTGCGTAAGTTAACATTTCTTTAAAAAATACTTCGAGTTTAATCTAAAAGTTTAAATGTTTACTGAAGCTTGATATCCCAGCGATCTAGAGTTTGTTCAATTTTCAGAGTTTTAAGTGGTTCCCCTAACGAAGATATTTCAAGTAAACATTTGGAAAAAAATCCCAAATTCCAATATTTAAGAGGATGAAATTTCAAGTGGTACGTTATTTGCAATGATATTTTATCCAAAGTAACTATACTGTTATGTGTAAAAGTACAGAAAAAATTAAAACTGTGATTATATTCCTTCTTTTATAATTTACTCTATGAGAATCGCGTTCCGTAGATTTGATTGCAACTATTTCCCAAATGAAAACATCGAAGGTATGTAAATAATTTTTCGATTTGTTGGCTAGAGTATACTGAATCTAATGTTTTTTGTTGTAGAATGTTAGAACAACCCAGAGCTGAGAAATTTAGAAAAGTGTAAGTGTCCACAAACGCAAAATTGGGCACGGCGTAAAACAAAATGGCCTCCATTTACAAACCAGGTACAATAAGAAAATTAAAGATGTTTTTGAACAGACAGAACATAAGCAAATTGGTGCAAAAAATATTTTTTCGAGGTCGAGTGACCAGTGTTGGACCACTTAAAATGGATTGCCCAATCATTGTAGTGTCCCTGACAGGGAGATCATAGTTTCGAGTCGACGATGGCAATATTTTCGACACTAGCCGGATAGCTAGGTCGAATATTGTGTGCACTGTAATTCTAGCGGGCTGCTGCTTTGATCGGTAGCTTTCCGTGGTTTCTCTGGTCAACACTAGATTGCCAGGGCAGTGCCCTGCCAAACGGGTCGCCGACCGCGATCTTTTCTTCCCAGTCCTTGCCCTATCATACCATTTACTTAAACATCCACACATTACCATCCATGACGGGAGACCGGTCGGGGGCTTAGAGCTTGTCCTGGCCGGGGCAATGCCCCTCTGGTATGAGGTATCTGGTTGGGAAAAACCTGCGGAAAAAGCCGACGGTAGGTCGGCGCAGGATTTAACCATCCTGGGGGAAAGATGACCACCACCTCCAGGGCAAAAATATAAACTACTCTTACAGGACTAATTACCTTAGCAGCTGGCGGCCTGGAATCACTATATATTATTCAATCATTCAACCAACCTATTAACCTATCAACTATCAGTCCATCTCAGGACAACTGTAGTAACTAAACAGTTCAGTCGATTTTCTCCAAAATTGATATTCTCTAATCGATCTGAACGGACTAGAGGCTTTGGGAGTTTCTAAAGTATATTTTGATTGTTGAGAGTTTTTTTACATGTCGATAATTTAACTTTCCATTTCTCTAACTGAGTTCGATCCATACGGCCATAGTGTGACGTAGTGGTATGAGTGCCGGCAAGTTAACTACGAGGATCTGAGTGATGGTCTCGGAGAGGAAGAAAAATTTGCTGGTTCGAAAAACTTCAGCAGTTTTATGTAATAGTGAAATATTAGCGTTACATTTGGAACAATGCGGGATATATCTGCTTTCGTAGCACCACTAGTTTTAAAATTGCACATATTGCACACAATTTTGCGCGAAAACTACTGTCATTTAAAAAAATGTGCATGACAATGAAAGAACTCTCTATGAAGAACAAATTTTATTTAATGAAAAAAAATCTATCTTCAATTTTGTAATTGTAGGAAGAAGCTTGAAAGTTTTCAAAATATTTAAATTTTAGATAATTCGGAGTTAATCCTGGAAATCAGACCTATGACACTTTTACACGTGTATTTTAATCAATTTTTACAAAAAATTTAAAGATAAAATTTGGACCCGTTTTTGAGAAAATTTTGAAAATGTCGAAGAGGCTTCAAGTAAAATAGCTAAACATTTTTAAAAAAGTTTTTCAAAATTGCAGCGCCTCCAGTCGAGCCACGTTTACCGGGGAATATTCATTTTGGAAGAAGTCCTACGTATGGTTAGGCGCTAGTGGTGTTCACACACGGACAGACGGACGAACGTTTTGGAAAAAAACCAACACATTTTCGGTATCAGAGGTCACCAAAACGTTGAAATCTCGAAATCCTCAGCATTACATAACTTGCTGTATACTACGTATTTGTATATACGATTATATACAAAAATGAAAAAAAAAAAATCATTTCAGCAAACGTTTAATAATATAAAAAATGCCAATGTTACGTAACATTTAAATAATACCCCTTCCCCTATGTGACAGCGTAACGCTGCCTCCTACCCCTCACCCCTTCTTTAACGTTACGTGATTTAGGGAAGACCCCATATTAGATCTATCTTTTCCGCGTTTTTGGAGCCTTTTTTAAGAAAATGGCGCTGTAGTGCTACTATAAATATGAAATTTGAAGCACTTTTTCACAGAAAATTTTTGAGTTTTTATATTGAAAATTTTTGAGTCATTATAAGCCATTTGAAGCACACTTAACTCACAAATACAATAGTGTTTACTTGGAGGAAATGTGCATATTAACGGCGTGAATGATCTTTCAAAAAAATTACACTTGTTTAATCTTGGAAAAAAAAACAGAATAAACTTTACGTAATACGCAAGAGTGTAATTAGCTGTATCCGTAAAAGATTTTTGGAAAAAAGCGTTTGAGCGTTTCTGAAAATGCGGAATTTTGAACTAGTTTTCACAGAAAACTGTTAAGTTTTCGAGAACCTTTATAAGGTATTATTTGAAGCACATGTTCTCATAAATAAATTAATGTGAACAAATTGCTGTTAATATAAATATTAACGACGTGAGAGACATAACAAAAAAATTATTCTGCCAATACCAATTATGCTGTCTGCCCTCAATATCCTTCCCACGCTTCCCCCGACGGTGATTGATCCGTTCGCCCGTGGGCAAAGATTTCAGCATGCGGCCACACAGAACACTTTGCAAGAATAATCGTTATCTTCGTGATTGAAGCCTAGCTAGGCCAAATTAAACACATACAGAAACGCTAAATATATAATTTATTAGTAATCATTTAATTATTTTTATAAACTGCAATATTTTTATTTCAAACAAAAAACCATCTGCCAAAAATAGTCATTCAGCTCTATACGTACCAGCTGTTTCTAGCAAAACTACTCCTACAATTATGCTAATTTTACCGTCTTAAATCTCCTTGACACTATTCACGATGAAACACACTACTCGTCTTTTCCATTTAAACTTTCTGTCGGAATATTCCGACATCAACTGGATGGAAACTGGATGTAATTGTTAATAACGTTAATTCTGAATTAATGAATTGCATAATTTCTCTTTCTATACTGTATACGCAGAAAAGCACGAACAGAACGCCCATAGTTTGTCTATGCCTAGTTTGCAACGAGTTAGAGATGCATAGAGTGGCAATAGCACCGCCATCTTTGAAACAGTAGTGCCACTGTCCGCTATGTATAAAGGTGTCAACCTTTGCGCGGGATTTCAAAATTTCTTCGCTTGCAATGTAGACATGAACACATTTTGCACCATACGTTTATTGAAATGAAAATCATTTATTTAATTTTTTAAATTTTATTCATTTTCAAAATCAAACGTAAACAACATTGAATTTATAAATCAGTTAGAATAAAATATAATTATATCATAAACTAAGGACGTTCTATACTCAATGGCCATGCACAAGTGAAAAAAGTGAACTTTCGTTCTACATTTTTCGAACTTTCCTCTACACTTGTAATGAATAATTTCAGGTTCCTAATTGATTGGAGGAATTTGTGTTGTAGCAATTAACACCTGGAAACTACTCTTCTCACTGAAATAAAAATTGATATTGGGGAAATATTTACATGGAAAGGTTTCACAAAAAATTGCAGGATATTATTAAAAAATAGTTCTAATAAAAGATAACCAGTATAGCAGAGCATCTCTAACTCGTTGTTTGCCACTATATGTATCTCTAACTCGTTGGTCTGCCCCATAGACTGTTGTGCCAGAGAACACCAAAGAGTATATAGCTAGTAGGTATATAGACGGATGTAGCAGGGATATAGATCGCGCCTAGTACAAAAAACACGCTCGTATGTTGGACGGGGCTTTTAATGCAATGAATGTAATTGGTGTCAGGTGATATGCTCAAAGGTGCTATTGTGTGACCGGAGGACTGAGATATATGCCCTCCACTAATTAGATGAGAGTGAACTTTCTAAATGCTATGCAATCATGACTGAAAAAGAATTAGAAACACATTTCCCTACAAGTTTTGCAACTAATCGTACAAAATGTTATGAAACTTCAACATGTGAAAATGAATTTTATGAAATTACGAGACTATTTGAGAAAAAGTTTAGTTTTTCCAAAAATAGTGCTTCATGGTGTTTGCCGAATGTTGATTTAATGTTCGTGAATGATATATGGAAGGTAGGTGTTCTGGGAACATACTAAGCCAGTTTTGGAGCTTAATTAAGCAGTTTTATTAAGACGTTTCATGTATTTTAAAACTTATTTTAATGAAAACCCATGAATTTAACTAGATTGAGTATTGCATTGAATAAAAAATTGTTTTAGGTTATGAAATTGCAAACCATCAAAGAAGAACTTAATAATGCTAAAAGTCAGTTAAACGATTTTGATTTAGCAGATTGGCATAGGCATACCAATTTTACTAATAAAGCTGGTGACATTCTTTGGAAATTGAGAAGTGAAGTTGAACCTGAATTTGTCACTCAGGTAAACTGTGTTTTTGTTTTATGTTGATAACTTTAATAGACATTGTTGTGACTTTTGTTTTCATTAAAAATTGGATTATTTCTGTGCAGAAGCCAGTAATGACATTTTTAATTAATATATGATTTAACGATGGAAATTTTGATTAAACTGTACTTTATCATTTCCACTTTGCTTGATGGTGCATTATGTATTGTGCACTGAATGTGCATCTTAACCCAAAAGTAAGTGAAGGTAATTTAAAATCATCTTATGTTCTGGAAATTGCAAACTCCCAACAACCGTTGGTCATGATACAGCTAGAGTGACTCAGGTTGCTCCAGTCATTTCTAATAACTTGTGGACCTTTGACTGTTGACTTCTGACATTTACGCAATACAACATAGAGCCTGGCATTGTAAAATTTGCAATGCATTTAAACACCTTTAAAATGTAGTCGCCGTTTCAGGCCTTCACGAACCTCATGCAAACAGTGGCAAAGTGAGGTAAAGTTCCCTTGAATATTTATTTCATAATTTCTTCAATATAGTTATCTGAGATGTACAAGAATATCTCTAAATATTTTTGGCACCTGTGAAACAGGAGGTATGTGTTGAAGGAAAGGTCACTTTCATGGTTGTGTACGGCTTTTCTTTTAAAGAATACCTTAGCTATAAAAGACTATTTATTTTCTTTGGAAAAATAATATTTTATTTTTTTCTTTGTGTGGAATGCTTTCATTATGAAATTTATGTCTTTTAATTATAAGAGAAATGCTTAATTTTCTCATTTTAGGCATGGTGCAAATTTTATGAAATTGTAATGTCATTTCCATTGGTTCCATCACAAATTGGTGAATTGAAATATTTTAATTCTGTCCATTTATGTGAAGCACCAGGAGCTTTCATTACTTCATTGAATCATTTTCTTCAATTGCATTACCCAGATGTTAATGTAAGTATTTAAATGCTCTTAAAACTATTTTCTAGTAACTGTTTCGTGAGATTTCAACCTTTTTCTTTTGGATTCTCTAGTGGCATTGGAAAGCAACAACTTTGAATCCATATTATGAAGGAAATTCCTTGTCATCAATGATAAATGATGATAGATTTATATTTCATACACTTCCTTGTTGGACCTTTGGTTATGATTATACAGGTGATATTAAGAATTTGAGTAATATAAATCATATTGTAGAAGAAGCAAAGCAGATGGGTGAAGTTCTTTTGGTAAAGTATAAATATTATTCTCAATTGCTGCATTAATCCTAAAAAATACCATTTGTAATACTTAAAATCTCATGTTCAGGTTACAGCTGATGGAAGTGTTGACTGTCATGATAAGCCTGCAGAACAAGAAGGTGTTGTGTCTTCATTGCACTATTATGAGACGATTGCAGCTCTGAATATTCTAGGAGTAGGTGAGAGTTTTGAAAATACTGCTGAAAAACTTGCTGAAACTTGAACAGAGTGATATCTGTTTAGGGTTTCTTTGAATATATACTTCAGTTCTGCATGATTTTTTTTATAAATTTAATGAAAGTATTCTTAAGAAAAATTAGGAGTCCTTCAGAAACTGCATGACATGAAACTACATAATCATTATATTTGAACTCTTTGGAGTTGGCTGAAACAAAATTAAGTGTTCTACACAAGATGGACTGGAGTAACAGCTAATGACTCTTAATGGGGATGAGTTGAGGTGACTAAAATTTATTACAATGGATGTATTTTGGCCTTAAGTCAATTAAAAATATATTAGCTGGTCCTCTTTGAACACTCTGTGTTTTGTGAATCATTGTTTTAAAATTGAAAATCACTTTATACTGGATCTCAACTTTAAACATCCAGCTCTTGAACTGAATGTTAATGCTTTATAGGACCAGCATGACATTGATAATGGACCTCTAAAGCTTCTAGTTCTCTGCATGCTGCCCACTCGTGTTACTTCACCTGTTTCCTGCATGTTACTATGCATGTCAACCAAGTTTCCAGCATGAACATTGAAATGTTTCCCAAATGATCCTTTACTGTTTCCTTACATGTTTTAACCATGTTCCACTGTATATTTTCTCACATGTTCCCACATTTGTTAATGTGGAAAATAAACTGGAAATTCAAGAACCTAATTTAGAGTATTTTTATTTCAAAATGCTTTAATGAATGTTATGATGGTTCATAGTTCAGTGATTCCCGTGGTGGATGAAGCAGGAAGTTCTGAATAGGTTAAACCTGCATGGTTGATCTCTCTGATGACTGTTGTACTTCTGTTTATAGTATGACATAGTGATTTTTTAGAACACTGTTGTTCTCAATACCTTTCCATTATTGTTATTAGATCTCATAGCTTCTAGATTGTCCCAACAGGCTTTTTGCTGTTGAAACAAGAATAATCTCAATCAAACTGTGTGCAACACAGCACACTGCAGGCCAGAGCATATAGTACATGTTATAACTGATGCAACTTCTTAATCTATATCTTGTTCTTATTATTGACAAACATTATAATTCAATAAAGTACTAAAATTTTGGATGTTAGTAAATGTGTTTAATGTGTGTTTGTGAAGTATGATAAGCTGAAATTAAAATGATGCATCTGAGAGATCACCATCCGTGCTTGAATAACTTTTACTAGCATGTGTGCCGCTCCACAAGAATAGAAACCCAAAAAATGTAATTGGAAGATCCAAAAGATTTTTCTCATTAAATGCAGTCTCAAATTAGAAATTTACATAAAATTGAGTCAGATTAAGAAAACAGGCTAAATATGGAAGGTATGCATAATATAATCATGTTTTACTTACCAAATAAGCGTTCTTTTTGACTGCAAAGGAGAAATTAGCATTGAGATTTGCTCCGAACTAATAATACCATGTTATCACATTCTGCCAAACAAATGCTATTTTTAATTTATTTTATAGAAGTCGAGAGTAAGTAGTATGTTTCTATGAACCTCGAACGTATGAGAACCACTGTAGCGATTGCTCCTAAATTTGGCACAAATAGTTTTCTGTGGCCAAGAATGAAGGGAAAACAAAAAGGGACGAGATGAAGAAAAGCATAGTTGCAGTTCAAAAATTTTACCCCAAAATAGTTGTATTTCCATGAACATTAGGTGCATCCGGCCACACCGTTGCCGGTGACGCGGGGCGAGGTCGAGTGGAACGGGATGGAGAGGAATCGCAGCGAGAGAAGTGGGCCGTTCGGAGGGTATTAGCGGAAAGAGCAGGAGCGGGCGGACGATCGGAGGACATATAATGAGAAACCAGACAGAATACTAGACACATACACTAGCTGAACGCGTTGCTGTAGTATTTATCTATTTATTTATCTATCTATTCGACTGTATCTCCACTCCGCCCTACCCCGCGTCTCTGCCTTGCTCTAATCTCAAAATACCCGGTCTTCCGTACTCACTAAAACACGTTCTCACTAAAAATATTTAAATTTTATTCCTATTGGGGTTCCCGCCCTTAAACTTCTTTCGCGTTATCACTGAAAATAATAAACATATGTAAAGAAAAAAATTAAATAAAATACTTGTTCTCACGTATATTATTTTTGTTGGAATTCTATCATATTATGTTATATTTCAATACAGTGCCACTTATATAATAATAACTAATCCAACTAATAATAATAAAATAATAATATAATAATGAATATATTATGAGTCACATATACAATTACAATCGTTGTATGACAGTCAATATGATGCCTGGGTGGAGAGAGTGAGTTATATTACTGTTTCAGGAGCAAACAAGGGCGCCATCTCACATTTGCTCAAAGGCGATCAGGGAAACTGAACAAAAACCTGATGAGATGGGTCATTGGCCTAGAATACAATACTTGTGTTACAGTAGAACTAAGATATTATACAGTAGATAAATAATCTGCTAATAATGTAACATTTCAATATGATATTTTAATCCTACATAAATTAGTATCAATATTAATTAATAATAATATAATATAATAATTACTTAATAATAAATATAATTGTTGGCAACACATCAAAATTTACAATAGTACATTCTATATTTATAAACTTGAAATGGTGAGGAGGCAAGTTTGACCAGTTTGTTTCCTTCTTCTATTTCACAGGATGTGATCTCAGTTTTTTTCTTTGCTTCCGCTTTTAATAGCCTTCTTTGCTTACATTATAAAACTTATTCTTTTTCATAGTTTTTCTTCTCGCGTATTTATAGAGAAAAATTCAAAAACATCTTGCTGCGTTGATTGACGTTTGAAAATAATAAAATAATTTTAGTTGAATTCGAGAACGTATTTTTAGTGTCCTTGGTAAATAGTGGCTGACAGGAAGGAGCCGTTAACCACTTAGACTGTCATAATATCTCAAGAAATCCGAGATCACAGTGGATCCCGGCTTGACATAACTTTTTCTATAATCTAAAATAACCTTGAAAACCAGCATTGTCACACATTCAGTTCATCCAAATACCCATTTGCCAATAATGTTTTACTTTAATTATACTGACGTTTTACAATTTCATCACCGAACTTTAATCAATTTAATCAACACTTAACCCGTCATTCTCCCTGTTTTGTCGTCTACGACAAACTTACACTTAACGCAGTTTTCGTCACCGCCACCAAACACGATATCAACCCTAACGCACAATGAACATAGAAATGTCATCCATAGTACCAATATTATATGACAAGAACTTAATGGTAAAGATTTGTCAAATTAATTGAGGTTATGAATATGAGGCTAGTTGTTACATTGATTGTTACAAAAAATATTTATCCACATCGCGTTAAAATTGTCATACATGTCCCATTCCTAACAATCTAAATATATAGTAGTAAATTTGCGGGTTTACATTCTAAGACCATCTAGGGAGCTATAGCTATCTTTGGAGATAAAGACATGTATTACATACATATTCGTATGATACAAACAGATTTCATGTATTATATGTTTTACTATCTTGTAATGCTTATAAAAGAAGAAAACCCTCAGAGATACACAGATGTTTAATAAAAGTTTTTAGATCCTGTTGTAGGTATATTCAGTTCCAATTAGTTCTTAGTTTTAACGTATTCTTTCGATTGTACGACTTACAAAAAATCATTTTTCTGAAGACGTAATTTACTATTGGCGATAATGTTTACGTACTCCCGTCTTGTAAAATCTCTCTAATAATAATGCTTAATTTACTACAACTAAACATGTGTGCATTCGTACATTTTTTTATTACATTATTAACCACATCCGCCAGAAAATATCTTCCGAAACATTTCGTCTCTTGTGCACTCACACGGCTACACGCAATTACAGTCAATGTCCAAGTTACTTTTATAAATAAAGCGGAGAGAACTCAGAATTATTTCAGATTAGGCAACTGCCGGCAATAAACTGTCTCCTAAATACGCAATTCTGTGAATTGATGAAATCAGTCGAGATATCAGACGTAATCCAATGATGGTGCGCAGCTAAACTATTAACATACACGCTTGAGTCTGTGATGTTAGCCCAACGAAAAAATGTACAGATAAATGATTATTTTGTAAATATATTAAGGTTTATGATTATAAATCATATTCTATAGTACTCCAGGCCGTTAAAAGAAGCTATTGCAAAAGTTCCGTCAGTAATGGTCCAGTAGATTAAGAGATTATCGCGCTGTAAGTCAACGCTCTTCTGTCTTTATATCTTAGTATAGATACAATATTTCAGTTTATTATATATATATATATATATATATATATATATATATATGTCAAATTCAGTATGTTCAAGTAATTGTTTTACAATTTTTTTCGGGGTATTTTTCAATTCTGAACTACTATGGACCAAAAACCAAGTGTACCTACAGTCCGAACTCCCTTGAACACGACAGCAATCTGATTTTCCCAGCCACCTAACACTTTTCATCAATAAATACTCTTGAGTGGAGCTACAAGGAACCCTAAGAAATGTGTATCTACACAAGATAAATTAAAACAATGACCCCACATCAATGCCGTGGGTTTGGGTTGAACTGTCAGGTCCAAATACAGCGCGCCGATGAAAAAAAAAAACAACTATATTGGGTGTCCAACATAGTGTGTGTGTATACTATATATATATACATACATGTGAGTCAGGAAACCTAAGCACCGCCTGTAATTTTTGAACGGTTGAAGTTATTGCAATGGAGTTTTCACGGAAGTGCATGAAGGAATTGATGTATGTATTCGTTTCCAAACGGAATACTAGGACATCCAGTTTCTCCAGAGGGCGCTGCTTTGACTGCAAAAAACATGTCTTCAATTTGCTGCAAAGATGGAGACTCTTCAGCCACTCTATGTAGTACATTCTAGCTCGTTAATATGTACACTGGCGGACAAAAGAATTGCAACATCCCCATTGCATTGTACAATTTATTCCTCCGTTCAGATACAGCACTTACAAAATACTACATATAATTACATGGACAATGCCATGCGAGATTCTCGCCGGCCAGCAACAGAGAACCATGGACCGGAAACGCCACATCTGTACTGTGTACCCACCGCGCGCAGTATGACAAGCTTTGATGCGGGCTGGCATCCCATCGCACAAGTGGCGAATAGTGTCCTGCGATACAGTTCCATGTCTCCTGCATCGCTTCACGCAGAGGCGTTGGTCAGTTATGTCCCACATATGCTCGATCGGGGACAATCCGAAGGACGAGTGTGCTGGCCAAGGCAATTGCGGAAATCGTGTTGCGTAGCGCGGGTAGTATGAGGGCTGGCATTGTCCTGCTGGAACAGCGCACCACCCTCCCGTTGCAAGAATGGTATCAGTCCAGGGCGCACAACATGCTGGATGTATCCAGGGCTGGTCAATGATCCCTCCACGAATATCTAAGACGAACGCGCGTTGTAGATGATGGCACTCCATACCATCACTCCCGGGGTGGGCCCTACGTGACGTGGACAAGCACACTTCGGACACACACGCTCGCCTGTGCGACGCCCCATACGCACAAATCCATCACTCGCATGCAGACAAGAGTCTCACCACTGAAAACCACTTCCCGGCATTCCGTTTCCCAGCGGACCCGCACATTGCACCACGCCAGACATGCCCGACGATGGCTCGACGTGAGTGGCAATCGAGCTAGCGGTATGCGCGATTGTAATCCTGCAGCAATTAAGCGGTTCCCAACAGTGCGTGGAAACACATTGGGGACCATATGTGCCTGTATCTCGATGCGGGTGGCCGCACAGTCTGCCAACTCCGCTCTCACCATGCGTCGATCTTGCATACCTGAACCTCGACTTGACCTTATCGCAGAGGGCGCCTTTTAAAGTCGCGGAGTAGATGGCACATCCGGGCCATTTCGTCACGTTCCCATTACGTCACCGGGCGTCAGTCATCCGTGAACGGTGGCAAGATTTTCGACCTTACCTTGTCAGCTTGATCGAATTCAGTCGCTGTCAGGAGGAGAATTCTAGTGGCCGGCTGCTCTGGTCGGTAGTTTTCTGTGGTTTCTTCGATCAACACCAGGCGAATGCCGGAGCAGTACTACAACAAACGGGCCACGGACTGCGCTCAGGCTTTCCTACCTCAGCCTTGTCATATGATCACCCCTTACACACACTTGCACTAACATGCACACTGCTACACATGCCGGGGGACCGGTTTAACTGACCGGTGGTATGACAATTTTTGCACTATTGAATGATTCAAGATTGCTCTCTGGTCCGCTTCCCTAATGTCATTGACTTATGATCTTTTCTGTGAAAGATTAATATTTTAAATATCCATGATGTTGAAAATTTACGTATTACCATTTTTAATTTAAAGGTGGAAGTTTTCTTTTGAAGATATTTACTGCATACGAAGCTCAAACAGTCTGTCTTCTATATTTGCTGTGCTGTGCATTCTATCAAGTGAATTTCTTCAAGCCAGCTACGAGTAAAGAAGGAAATTCTGAGGTCTATGTAATTTGTTTAAAATACAAAGGAAAAGACGTGCTGGGTCCTTGGTTAAGGAAGATGAAGTATTTCACAGGTAATTTTTTAAACTGTTTTGTTCATTGTTTCTTGTATAATTATACAGAAATCAGTATTAGACGTGGAAGACTGAACCTGTGTATGGATGACTAGAGCTGTGATTTATATGCAATAAAAACAGCGAAATGTGCGCATGTATTGCATGTATGTAATTAGATTTGGTAATATGTGCTATTAAAAAAGGAAAATATTCGAAATAGTGTAATGTAATGTGTAAATATAAAAATATAAGTGTAATCTGGAAAATATGTTTACAGCAAAAAAGATGCAGAAATCATAAATTGTACAAGCGACAAATACCAAGTCAAGTGCTTTGTAAACTCACTTCTTAGTAAAATAATGAGAGATGCAGTTCATTTTACAAAATAACAAAAATTAAGTATTGCTACAAAAATGAGACTTCCTTTCAATTCACGCCACATTCACGAGCCCGACTCTTTTAACACCACTCCACTTTTTCGCCGTGTGTGGGCACGCATAGGCTCCCGGCGGATACACATTTGATTTCGACTGATTCTGACAGGTCTTAGCGTGCTTCTCGAGCGACTTCGTACGAATCAGGCGAGCGGCAACGCTGATCCGTGGCTATGGCAACATAAACAAATCCTCGGAAGCCCATAGCTTCAGAACAGGTCACATGATGTACCATAGCAAGTGACGAGAACTGTCAGAGCCGCTTACACGCTGACGGAACTGTAACTTTTGGGGTTCGTTTCGCGGACGAGGGGTAAATATGCATTAAAAATATGCAAATATGGCCCAAAGATACAATTATGATAATATATGCGAAATAACAAAAGCTTTAATTGATTCTAAATGCTTTAAAACGTGTACAATTTGTTGAAACGGAATGTTTTAGTTAACAGAAAAAATACGCGAATGCATATAAATCACAGCCCTAGTGATGAACAAGCAATAATTAAATGCATTTAGGCATTTTTCTGCTACTGTTATCTTGGTATTCCTGTGTATTGTCCTAATTTAAAAAAAATAATTTCTAGGCTTACAGGATGAAGGAAAAGTTATGTTTCCATTTGAAAGTATTCCTCAGGAGTTTATCGACGAATTGCTGATTTGTTCCACAAGGTTCAAAGATTTTCAGGTGTATTATTTTTTGATGTTTTCTTTTCTATATGTGTTGAGGATACTAAATTGAAGAATGTGATAACTATTTATACTTTTGCATTGATGTACAGGTTGAAGCTATAAAGAAAAACATAGAGATGTTAGGTGACCCTTCTGTTAATTATATTATCAAACGATTTAAGTATTTGGCAGTTCAGCATTTCATGAAACATTATAAATTAAAAAAAATATCTGATGAAAGTAAAGAAGTGGTGGGTAAACATAAATTGGTGAGTATCATTTTTCACTTTCTTTAGGTAAATTGGGTGAAAAATAAACTAAACTGTGAATAATACTACAGAAGCACATTTACGTTCTTATGTTCGTCTTCTTGCGTTTACATTCTTAACATACAAATACCGATTTTCAAATCAATGTAACAATTTATTCTTATTAAAACCTAACTAACACTTAATACACATAAACATACAAAACAGTTGCTTTTTAATGTTTACATACATTCGCCTACAAAACAATAAATAGAGCATTTGCAGAAGTAAAAGTGAATATAATTAGACTGACTTTGTGGAGTTTAAGATCTTCAAAAATTAGGGGACAAAAATATGGAAGTGTCAAGCAAATGCAGGGAAGAATGAAATGTAGTTGTAGAAAATTTTGTGATAGAAGTTTCGGAATTAATTGAGAATGATCATATTAGAGAATAATGCTGAAGAGCAACTTACAGATGATTTTTTAATGTGAATTTTTGTGCATATTACCAAAAAATGTACTAAATTTGAACCATTCAGCACCATTCATACCTGCAAGTATTTTTATGGTGTTTATAATTTTGTAAATGCAATATTACCTGTTCGTATGTTCTATGGAGGTAACATTCAAGGTGATTGGGGATTGGAAATTTTTGAACTGGAGTAAAACATTATTAGCTACTACGATTCATTGGTGTGTTCAATGCAATTAGAAACTGTAAGAATTTATTTGAACAAAGCTATGAATGGCATAAATTTTCAACACATGAAAACACTTTTAAAATAGTTTACAGCATCAGCGACATCACATTCAACTAGTCCCTACATAGTATTTGAATATAAGCGAATATGCGTGTGTGCTGATCCGTCACTCACGGTTAGACCGAAACCATAGGATTAATCGAGACACATCCGGTGTCATTTGACGCACCTCGGTCTCCTGGTAGGGAACTGAAAATTGGTTACGGATCCAGCTTGAAGATTCAAAGAAATTTTAAAAATCGTGGTTTGTTGTGGCAAACGTATTAAATTTGAAAAACGTCAAGTGAATATGGAGAAAACCATACTGTGCGTAATGCTACAAAATTAAAGCACATTTAACTTATTACATTCGACTCCTCACAGTTGCGTTCTTAAGCACGCAAATACTAATTTTCAAATGAACCTACACAAAAGAACAACTTATTCTTATTAAACTTAACACCATATTCGCATAAATATACAAAATGCAATATTTTAATGTTTAAATATATATTCGCCTACAAAAGGATTTATAGAGAAATTGCTGAAGTATAAGTTAATACAAATTAGACTGAGTTTGTGGAATTTTAATACTTTCAAAAACTTGGGGAAAAATATATGGAAATGGAAAACAAATATATTGCAGAGTGGATTTTTTTTGTTTGTACCCTGGAGCTTTGAGAAAATTTTGAAAATGTCCCAGGGGCTTCATGTAAAGTACCCCCATATTTTAAAGAAAGTTGTTCAAAATCTCAAAGGTTTAACTCGAGCCAGATGTGCAGGGGTTTACCGAAAAAGTGTTGTTTTTCCTCCCAAAACGCCCGTCTGGTGTCTGTGAACACTGCTAGCGCCTAAACCATGCGTGGGACTTCTCCAAATTGAAGAAACCCCTGTCTGTCTGACTCGAGTCGAAACTTTGAGATTTTGAAAAACATTCTTGAAAATTTGGGGGTACACTTTATGAAGCCCTGCGGACATTTTCAAAATTTTCTCAAAAGCTGCACTATTTTTTTCTTAAATTTCTTTTAAGAACATACACTTATAATAGTGACAGGTCCGATTTTCACAGTTGACTCTGTATTTTTGAAAATTTCAAAAGTATGAATTGTTTTCAGTGTCTTCCAACTGCTACAAAATCGAAGATACAGATTTTTCCTTCAAATCAAATTTGTTCTCTATAGTGAGTTCTTTCATAAAGGTCAGGTACATTTTTTTGAAAATTTTAGTAGTTTTCGCGCAATATTGCATGCAATGTGTGCAATTTATAAACATCTCAAAAACACGATTTTCTCAAATCGGCTCCAATTATTTTCTTTAAACTTTTGGTAGGGGTACTTCCAAATGCACTCTATCAGTTGTCATAAATGACATATTCCTTTGCATTAATGTATTTATGAGTATATGTCCTTTAAATAATGTGGGAAAACGTTTCACGAAAACTCACAGTTTACCGTGAAAACTAGCCCAAAATCCCGCAGTTTCTGAAACCCTCAAACACAATTTTCTCAAAAACAGCTCCAAATTTTTTCATCAAAGTTTTCCAACAAATAGTGCTAACTGCACTGTTTAAGAGGACATGAAATTATTTTTTGTATTCATTTGTTTTATCTAAAATTACACAAATGTAATTTTTTTTAAGATCTCTTATGCCTTTAATATGCATATTTCCAGCGATTTGTTAGCACTATTGCATTTATGACTTGAAGTGATTGAAATGACGTATAAAGTGGGGTGCATGAAAGTGACAATCACGTGATATATGCATGGAAAAGGAGGGTTGTTGGGGGAAATGGACAGTGGAGAGGGGATGGGGAAAGTGTAGTAAAAATGGGGGAACGGGGGTGGTGATGTTCTATGAGTTTAAAGCGAAGTATCCTACCAATATTTCAGGGTTAAAGCTAAATCATAAAGTTTTGCAAAAAAAAAAAAAAGACTGGAAGTTTATTGTTGTGTTAAGTCTTGTTTCTAAACCTATTCTCCCAAAGTAGTCGTTTTCAATCTCCAATATTACAGAGTGCTTGAAGTCAATTTTATGGTGGTGTCTAATTTTGTGGTCAGTGATCGAATTCTGTTGTGTAGGTAGTAGTCACTCATTTCTTATGTGCTCGCGTATTCTGGATTAAATCCAGATTTGCATGTGCGTTGCGCACGCAAGCATTGAGGATTTGTAGTAGAGTTTTGATGGCACTCCGCGGAAGGCGGTGCAGCATTTTGCCGTTCACGCGATCGGGCTCGCTCGCTTTGTTTGTTTTTAGTGATGCTACCTCTTCCTTCAGTTCTTGTTCCGAAATTTGTAATATTTCTTCGCGAGTGATGTGTGCGGGGAAAATACTGTTATGGAGCGGTGTTCGTTGGCACGTAGTTTCCTGAGGGATCGATCATCGCAGATATTGGGTCGGTTTTCGTATTTGTTTCTGCACTTTCTATGTGTCGTTTCTGAATTTAAAGTTAGCTTATTTGAGGAATTTTTCTCATTCGTTGGCCCTGAATTGCTGTAGTCATCTTCGGATTTCTCATTGTATTTCTTGGAAAGTTACTGTTTTGATTTCGTCTGTTGTTCTGTGGTATCGTCTCCGCGCTTTTCATCTTCCTTGGATTTTTTTTTATTATTTCTGCGGGGAGTGGTGGGCGTTGGGTTTTGGCGGGGCTGTTGGTTGAATTTATTTGGTAGGTGAATTTATTGAGAGCGATGTCAATGTTTGCTGGAGTTTTTAATTGTTGACTGCACGGTTGAAGTTGACAGGCCACTCGGTCTTTATATTCACGCCGTTTTGTATTATACGCTCCGAGGTAAAGGGCAAAGTGGATAGGTAGGTGGTCGGATTCGAGTTCATTTATAGGTTCTGTCACTGTGGGAGACATGCCAATTTCTTTCCAATTTTCAAAAATACAAAGCGTTTCCGCAAGACGGGACCAGCAGCACTTTCTTTACAGTTCTGTGCTACATGCGTGAAAAAAAATTGGGGCCGTTTCTGAGTAAATAATTGTTTCAAATTTAAAAATTGCTGGTATTGCACGCAAAATTACACTAAAAATACTTAATTTTTGAAAAATTAAACAAGAGCTTATTGGAAGATTGTTTCTGATGAACACATTTAGTTAAAAAATGTTCATAATTGTAATTGTAGGAAGACGCCAAAAAAATTTGAATTGAATTTTTTAAATCGGGAATTTCATCGAAAATAAGACCTTTACAATACTTTTTAGTGTCCTTTACGATCTCCGAGATCAAAATTTAATAAAAATATTTTATGTTCTTTATTATTTTTGAACATGTTGAAAATGTCCCTGTGGGCCTAATATACAGTACCCCCAAAATAAAAGTATCGGTTTCAAATTCCAGGGACCACGACATAAGCCATAACGATTGTGTAATATCAATTTTGGTGGAAATTCTGCTTTCGGTTTAGCTACTAGCGTTGTTAACAGACGGATTTTTGCCGTCATTCGATCAATGATCCACAAAACTTGGATTCTGACTACACACCATATCAGAGGAAGTAATGAACTATATGTAGGGATATTTTTTTTACCATTTTTTCGTTACCAACGCCTGGCTGTTAGAGCCGAAAAATCGCTGTTATTTTCCGCAGCACTACAATACTTCTATATTCTGCGAAAGAAGAAGTAAGAAAGTACAATACGACCATATCATCTCGATGCTTTGTAGAGAATATTGTTTTAAAGGATAATGCCAAAGATGTAACAATCCTGTAATAGTTTCAAATATCTTCAACCAACATCTGTCTAGAATTTGCTTCTGATTAAATGGACTAAAATCACAAAATTCAATATCATATATCTCCCCAAAAATGTACGGCATGATGTTCATTTCCAAAACTTATTCCCGAGAAATTCTGAGAATGGTCAGTAAACAAAAAAGTAAGTATTGTCTGGTTTAGATGAATTTCCCTGAGTATTCCTATTTTTATTTTAACCTATACGTACGTAGACGTCCGTTTGTTGTGTGTCAACACTTGCGCCTAAACAATGGGCTTGGCCTCAGAAGCTGTGCGATTTTGAATAACATTTAATTCTGGTTTTCATCACCCCTGGAACTTTAAAAAAAATTCAGTAAACTGCTTTATACAAGTTCTGTCCCAAAAGTAATGATTCGCTTTTTTTGACATCACTACAGGCCACAGAACAACCAGACTAGTTTGAGTAGAATAGAATAGGAGGTTTAGCCTTACAATGGTTCCTAGATCACTTGTGTCCGTGCCCTGGAGAGGTTAGAAGTGTATGTTTGTGAGCTGTGTAGTAGTCGTGTCGTACTTAGATGGAGAAATCTTTGGATAAAAGATAAGCGATCAAATTTTGCATGAAGATGAACAAGACGCCGGGGGATACTTTCTTCTAATCTAATTTTTGGATCCTTATCGACGGTAGGAGACGTGGATCTTCGAGTGCGGCCCGGAAAAAAAAGGACCAGAGCGCGAGTGTCACACTTCGGCGTCTCCGCGCTCCGAGAAGGCTCGTGTGAACAAATCGCGCGTGAAAGTCAAGCTCATTGCTGTCTTGACACAAAGGGGATACTGCACTGAGCAGTGAGGTCGTACCTCCTGCACTCACCGTAAATGACTAGTTCTACAGAGAAGGGCTCAAGAGGCTGAACGACGCGTCTGTGCGGGTGACCCCGTGACCAAAAGGAGATCACTTCCTGGAAGCATCATGGTGACAGCGCGCCGACCCACACCACGTTCGTCGTTCGGGGACTATCTGACCCGTATCGGTGTGGCAACGCTTCCACAGCCGCCCTAATGTGCGACTTTGCTCCGGCGGATATCTTTTTGTTCCCTCGGGCGAAAAGGTCATGAAAGAAACCGTTTCAAGGCTTTGGACAACATCGGAACAAGTACGACGAGGGCTCTAAAGGACTTTTTCGGCGAGGACTTCCTGAGAGCATACGACGCAAGGAAATCCCGCTGGCGAAACTGAATCGACGCACAAGGGTCACACTTTGAAGAATTTTAAGTTGCTGTACCTTTCTGATTTCTGTAAACTTTTGGTAGGAGTAGTGATATGATGTTCTATGACCTAAAAATCGGCATCATATACTTCAAAAATATGCATTAATGAACTAACAATTCTGAAATATCCACTTTAATATGCAATTAAAATTAACAATATTTCATTTCCTGTATAAATCTTTCTTTAAGAAATTCAAAAGAAGAATGCTTGGAATGAAAAGATATATTTTTGTGCACATGTAGTTCAACGTAGCTTAATTCGCGAGAGAAATAATTGAAGTAAATATGCGTCTTAGTAAAGTGCATTGTAAGTCTTGTTTCACAAAGTGACCGAAAGTGAAAAATAATTATAATCGAGATTTCGTCATCAAATGAAATCCATATATTTTTTTAAACTATCTTAGCAGATGATACAATTTACTTTCTCGCACTTAAGAAGAAATTTCTTAATGTTAGGTAATGTGTGAAAGAACGGCGAATTTTCGGCAAAAAAACTTTTATTACAAGGCGCTGGGAACTAAAAAGTGGATGAATCCCGTTGCTAAATTTAAAAACAAATTCTCTAACACGGCGTAGCTAGATTCCATGTTTTAAGTCCTTGATACCGAAAAATCGAATGACGGCAAAACGTCTGTCCGTCTGTGAACAACGCTAACGGCTAAACCGATTAGGCGATTTTGTCCAAAATTGATATTTCCCAATCGATCTGGCTGATGTCGCGGCCACTTGAATTTGAAATATATTTTACATTAAGCCCCTGGAACATTTTCCAAAAAAAAAAAAAAAAAAATATCCGCCGTTTTTTATGAACTTTAATTGGATAGTTTGAAGGAGGTTTAAGAGAATGGTGCAGGACTAATGTTCGTTAAAAGCTCTGATTTTTCCAAAGTTGCAACAATTCAAACATTTTTGGGTTTTTCTTACAACTACAATTATGAACATAGATATTTTTCCCTTAATGAAATATATTACTTAAAAATAGATTTTGAATTAAAATTATGTACAATTTTTCGAATATTTAGTCACTTAATTTGTCCGTAATTTTGCGTGAAAGTTCGGGCGAAAAAGTATGTGCTATTATAGCTCTTCTAGTTAAAATTACAGTTGTGCGGGTCTGTTTGTAGTGTGCCCAAGTCGTGGCACATAGAGGAAAAAATGTTGTACGTCGCCCTATTGTTCTTATCTTAATATCTCAATAAATTTGTACCCTAAAATAACGCGGTTGGTTTATTTTAAAAAAGCCGATCTCGACAAACGTTCTGTCCTTCATCGTCTCTTCTCTCTCCCCCTCTCCTGTAATGTAATAGAATGTTCACGGTGCGAGGCACTTTTCATTAGGGCCTTAGGTCCCAAAATATTAATTTTAATGCCCTAGAATGCCTCGTTTAGGAGTTATTTAACGATATATATTCAAAAAATCCTTCCGAGTATGTTGCGGGTTGCATATGACATGAATATTTAGCTTTGATATACATTGCCATTAGTGGATATTTTTGATATTTTAATTGTTATTCCGCTATTGGGGGCGGAGTTAAATTCAACAAATTAGAGATAATTAAGACTGGTCCTGCCGTTCGTGAATTATAAATACTCTAACTAACCCGACTGTTTTATTTATGAAGATGACGACTGACCACTTCAATTTGGGAGTGGGGTAGTGGCGCTCGTGGCGTCGTCTTAAAATTATGCATTCAATATATATTATAAAATTTAGTTAGAAAAAATTGTATTTTATAACTTATATACTTATGTGATTTAAATATTAATTCCAGATAGCCGGGAGATGGAGAAAAAAGAACTAAACGTATTGTGCACATTTACTTGGGTGTCCTGGTGACGGTCTATCTCCATAGACGCGGCGGCACCCGGACGGCCAAGTAAATACTGACTCCGGCCGCGGAAGCCTACGCTCTCGTATTGTGCAAACTTTGATCTCATTTTATTATATTTGCCAACTTATCAATGTGAATAAAAAACATTTCCTTTTAAAATAAATATATAATCTTCATGTTCTAAGGGAAGTGTAAAACAAGTTATAAATGACTGCATAATAAAACATGGGACCAAATATATTGAAATAATAGCATTGAATTATTTTTTTTAAAAAGTGGTATTGTCATATCCCGCGGTTTCCACGTTACCAAAAATAAATTGTTTTTGACGTATCGTTTGAGACTCTTGGTCTGAACCAAATCCGTGAATTTGAAAAATATTTTAGAGCTTCAATTGAAAATACGGACATTTCCAAATATTTCAAAAATTAATACGGGCTGCTGGACAGATCCTGGAAATACGGATGTGTACTAAATTAGTGGCCTCCTCTATAGATAAATTTATCAACATCTGTACCACACGGTAACACTAGTCAAGGGAACAAGGGATTACAGTGGCATTTAAATATGCAAGAATAACTTAGATATGCATTAATAACAAATTCACAGTTTTAATTGTACAAAATACTGCACTCGAGCATGAGAGAAAACTGGTACGAGTAATATAAGATTAAGTGACAAATGCAAAGAAATGTGTGTAAAACAAGCTGGAAATGGCAAAAACTTGAAATCCAAGTAGCCAGATCGCTGATTGCCGTGAATATTCAATTTTGTCCATATTCTTGTCGTTTTTATTATTAGGTTTAGTGGATTTTTTACGTAATATTTAAGTTACCCAATCTTTGATCATTCTTCACGATTCTCTGATTTAAATGTTGAGTCTCTTCAAGGTCAGCTGGGAAAAGAGGGGGATACTGATATTCCATCGGCAGCTTCGTAACGACTTGAATTTTTGATATTGAAGCTCCCGTTTGCATGGCAGTGACCCTTCCTTCCAGCTCCTGAACTTCAAGGGATACTACATTTAAATCGGAGTATAATCTGCGTTTTATAAAAAATGTATTCGTGCATTTCGTGATTTTGTAAACACCAATCTTTTCTAGGACAGATTGTTTCAATATTTGTAAGATTTATAGACTTTTTTTATTTCTAGAAAGAAACTATGTCCCAAAACTTGGATCCACATGCTAGGAAAGGATCGTACAGTGATAGAATCCAGAAAAAGAATTCTGTAGTTAAGAAATTATTGGAACTTCATGAAGAGTTACAAGTTTTTAATGTAACATGGACATACAAACATGATATTAAGTGGTTAAAAGTAAGTATATATGTGTGCGGTCAGGGTCGGATTATATTTTGTGGGGCTGCCCCCAAACAGAAAAGAATATAGTGCCCCTCCAGATTTTCTACAAAAAGTCGACGACGACGATGACTACTTACTACGAACGACGACTACTTACGGACGACGACTACTACTACTACGACGACGACTACTACGCACGCTACTATCTCTACGCGACGACTACTACTACTACGACGACTGACTACTTACTACTACGACAGACTACTACTAACTACTTACGACGACTACATACTTAACGACGACACTACTACGACGACATACTACTGACACGTCTACTACTACTACTACTACTACTACTACTCTACTACTACTACTACTACTACGACGACGACGACGACGAGGACGACTACTTCGGCGACTACCCTCATCTTATGTAGTTCTACCTTCTAAAAGCGAAAGACAACGAGAGGGCTAATATTGAAGGTTTTCTTGGAAAGGAACAGATATCTCACTAATGATAGCGAAGATCGGGAAGAGAGAGAAGTTTCCTGTTCTGTGAAACACCCTGACGGGCTTTGGTGAAGTAGTCATATCTTACACAGTGACAAATTTGAATACCTAAATCTCCAAGCAGTGTACTTGCTCCTCATCTCACAGCCGAGATCACACAGCACATAGAGCTTCACGATTGGAAGATGCCCTATCAAATTTTACTGGTTTGATTAAAAATACCCAATAGAGATTTTTTTCAAAAATGGTTGTAAAAACAAACAAAATAAAAAGAACAAAAATATAAAATAATACGGAATATTCGATACGTGCACTTACAGGCTTTTAACGCATAGGCATTTATAGGCAAAAATACCTTGCAGAAGCTATGTTTTGTGTGAACATAGATAAGTTGCCTAAAGTTACATTCAAAGAAATAAAATAGGCAATTAGAGCATTGTCCGTGCTCTAGTTATGTTACACCCATTTTCCCCGTACCTATTTTTGGCCCTTCCAGCTATCAATCTTTATTGTAAGATAAAATAAAAGTATTTAATGTGCAATTGGGTAGAACCCGCTGGCAGCTAATTACATAAATAAGGGCATATGACTAACAAAAAATATATTATAATAATGGTACAATAATGAAAATAGAAACATCCTTCGTTGTTTCACAAACTTTCGCCAAGCTTCGTGTACAGGGTCTTTAGCTTAACTCGCAACTCTTGTTTGAAAGCACTTGTTCTTATTTTGGTAATTTGGCAATCGCGTGTGTTTGACTCCTTTCAAGACAGTCGTGTCTGACATGTCGAAATAGCAGAGGAGGAGGCGACCATGAGGTTATACGCTACAGCAACTTCCCTATTTCTGTATTTTTACCATTCAATAGCGTAGGTGGACAGGTCCGCGTCTCATACGATGGAATCTTCGTTCTGTGCAGGGTATTTGGGATGGGCAGAGGCATGAGCGAACAAACACGTCTCTTTAGGCGATTCTGTCCAGTGCTTAGGAAACAAAACTATAATACTGAAGATTTAGGGGGACGTTATGGCTGATTTATCGATTTATATATATCGACTGATATATCGATCATATTAACAATAATGTGACTGATAATTATTTCATTAGAGACTGCTCAGAGAAAGTAAAAAAACCTCGTGAAACATCGCTAAGATCTTCATTATTTGCAACAATAATAATGTAATATTATTATTACGGTATCCGATTATCAAGCAAATACGGAAATATTTATAAATTACATATACCAATAAAACATAAATAAGTAGTAAATTAATAATTATTGAAAATAATGAATAAAAAGATAAAATATAATTTCCTTAAAATGGCAACTAACATTTGAATGAACGATCAAAGTGATCACCATTTGCGGAGGGACAGGCGTTTACTCTTTCAGTGCAGTGGCTGCAGTACATAGGAGAGTAACACGGGAAGAATAAGTGCTTCCTCTTTCTTCGAACTAAAATTAATCCCATTCTCCCAGCCCTAAATCTGAGGGTATGCGATCGTAGGTCGCTAAAAGTGAAAAGATCCCGAAGGTATTTAACGCATTGCCAAATTTCCAAAATAAGAGGTGGTGTTTCCAGACTTGAGTTGCGAGTTAAGATAAAGCTCCGGTATATCTTTAAACGCGACCCATATTCTTCCATACCTCCCCCTGTTCTCAGAAAGCGGTTGTATTGGTCTTTAAAAAAAATTTGAAGCCTTTCTACATGTACTTTCTTGTATTGCAGCACCTTCGTTCCTATCGTAATGCCTTTTCTTGAAATATTTTCATCTAATGCTAGAAGAACCGCTTTGTGATCACTATGCCCTCGACAACTTCACAAGATATGAACAGTAGGATCATCTTTCGGCCTAAGTAGATATCCAAAATCGCATACTGTCGCGTCAGGCCCCGAACTACCTGAGTTAATCTACTGTCCCAATTAGACTGTTGACATGTGTTTGGACTTCCCCTTCGCTCACGGCTTCCTCCCAGTTTGCGCTATGAATATTTAAGTCGCCTCCAATAACAGTAGGATGGCCATTTTCGTTTCCCGTTCTCTGAATTATGTCATCTAAAATGTATCCGTCGCTCGGAGGCCTATAGCATGCTATGATTTCTAATATGGTTCCTGAAGAAGTAATTTCTATTCCCATCATTTCAAACTCTGTACTGACCCAATATAATCTAATACCCATGTCTGTTTTGACGCAAATGAAGATTCTGCCCCCTCTACTATGTATTTTCCTCCTAAAGTAATTGTTTCGGAGGATCCGACTTCCTCTGTTAGCAACGACTCGGTCCTTATCGCTACGTCGGGATCGCAGGCACTCACGAGATTCAAAAACTATTTCTTTATTGATTATAACACGACAGTTCAATCGCAACTACCTAAAAAATATTTCCTTACCTGAATGAGTTCTAAGAAAGCACGCCCCTCGAAGTCGTCGATTCCGTCGTCGTCGTCGTCGTCGTCGTCGTCGTCGCCGCCGCCGCCGCCGCCGACGACGACGACGACGACGACGACGACGACGACACCGGCTTCTTGACAGTGACACACTTCTCCCCTTGCCAGAGAGTATATATCCTCAGAGAGTATGTCGCCCCAGAAGCCGCCGCCACTTTGGCCGCTGCCTGTAGTTTGATCGTAGGGCTCGAGACCAGCGGACACTTCAATGCTACGCCTGTGGTCTTTATTAGTGGGCCAACACGCCAAGCGAAAATCCTTTTTTTGCACAATTGGACATTTGGACTGACGTTACATCTTATTTCCGTGGAATGTAATATTTAATATTTAACTTAATCACTAGCTAATTATTCCAAATATTGGAAAAAAGAGTACATCACACTGTAGAGCAGATATTCAACTTGCATCCCATTTTCATCAATTTTTCTATATTCCGGACAGTCTTTCAATTTTACAATTACAAATAAAAATGACAAATTTTCAGTAGACTTTAACATATTATTTTTTACTGCATTATACCATTTGATTAACAATTATTTTACAAAACAAAGATGTTTTATTCAAAAACATTTTTTCTATTAGGGGAAACATATTTTCTACAGGGACCATTAGGCGCCTGCTTATTTTGCTTCTTGAGAAATTCGGTCCTGAGAATGATGGTATATTACAGAATTATGTTATCAAATCTAATGTAATTTTGGTTTCCTTCAGATGCAGTCGTCTCAGCTGGAATTCAATGTTATCAGTGGCAAACCAATAAATATTGTTCATTCCTCTAAATTTTGCTCAAACCACCTCCTAAAAATATGGGATGATATTCGAGAGACAACTTCACAGTTCTTTGAAAATAGTTCTGATAAGTATCAGGTTCATGAAATGAATAAATGCAGTATAGAAAGACTCTCACAGGATCTAAAGCAAGCTAATTCATTTCTAACAAGTAATTTAAATATAGTGAGAATTAACAATGACTACTGGTCTTCCCTTAATAGTAACACAAATAATCTAGCTGAAAAAAGGGCTTTTTTTGATGTTATGACCACAATAAACAAACTGCAGAAAGGAGATAACTTGCTTTTGTCTGGTTATCCGTTGTTAACACAGTTTAATGTTGGAATAATATACTTGCTGACAGGTTTATTTGAAAAGGTAAGGAAGAAAGAAAAGCAAAGGAAGAAACTTTTTTGTGGAACTAAAATTATATCATTGATGATGCTAATGAACTGGGTTAACTTTCTTTTTTTAGATTGGTTTCATCAATCCCGTTAAACATGACTATGGTATTGTTTTTGTTGGATTTCAATGTTCAAATGTTGATGTTTTGAACTTCCTTAATTCTGTAAAGGAGATGTGTATTAGAAATATGAAGTCAAGTGAAATAAGTGTTCTGGCAGTTCTGAATATCACTCAACTTTGTGGTAAGCATAATATTCATAAGTGTGTATTTTGAAAAACCATGTGTGCATGCACCCAGATTAATGCATTGTGTAATATTAATAAGTTGTTAATTTTTCAGGAAAAATGGACAATTCTCTTAAAAAAATCAACCATTTTCCAACACCAAAAAGGAAATGCTCCACAAATGACCATGAAATGGAGGAGATTGAAAATGGCTATACATTCTGTCAGTGTGTTACTGAAATTAATAATGTATATATGAAAGAACAACTGTCAGTGATAGTATCTGATTTGATTCCAAAGAGGTGAAATTTCTATTTTTATTGGGGAAAAGTTAAATACCTCCCCTTCCTTGAAAGCTGAGATGGCCTATTGTGATATTTCTGAACAAACACTAGGAAACAACAAACACCAGAATACATACGTAAGCTTCCGCGGCTCGAATCCATGAATTCTCGGCTATCCGGGAGACGCCGCGTCGTTGGCTGGGGTGCCGACGTTTCGCCTGGCATGTCGCAGGCTTCCTCAGTACAAGTCACAGCCCTGAGGAAGCCTGCGACATGCCAGGCGAAACGTCGGCACCCAGCCAACGACGCGGCGTCTCCCGGATAGCCGAGAATTCAAACACCAGAATACATCCAGATGCTTAAACGTTTTACACACTACAATTATTTATACTACATATACAATTACAATTTACTATCACAATTACAAAATTGACCACCGAGAAGAAACCCTTTGTATAAGGGAAAAGGAAGAACAATATTTTCACCATATAAAACAAATCACTAGTTTTATTTTCTCAGTACAAGCAACACAGTCTTCATTGAGTGTTCATATTTACTTTGTAAGCTTGATTTTTGAGTGAGAACTATGTTTGAACAGAAAATTGTGCACTTTACCAGATAAATGAGCACAACAAAGTTTTGTTTTTGTCTCATCTCTTTCGTGATGGGTACAATGAATCATCAGAAGAAGAAATAGGAAAAAAAGGAACTAGTTAAAAATTGTTCCCTTAATGTTTAAAACTTTGACATCATATCTTCTTTTTTCAATGAAGTATGAGAATATTGAAGCACATCATGCATGGTACTATTTAATGAAAGTATTGAATTATCTTGTAGGGGAAAAATCTTTAATTCATATAAAAAATTGTATTTTTATGAAAGAAACATGTAAATAATGCACCAAGTGGAATTAATTGGGATCTGTGTGCATGCATGCAGGTGACAATCTTGTGTATCAATAATTTATCTTGAAATACGAAGACAAATATATAATATATAATTTACTAATTTTACTTGAAATAAGCTTTTCCCTGGAATTTGTGCCTATTACTCATTCTTGTATAATTTGTTTTGTGTTTACTCGGAGTTGTTGAACTCAAATCCATCCGATCCGCCCTGCAATCTTGTTTCAACTCCTCTTGTCATGACCCTAATCCTTCCTACCATGCCATGTTCACTAAACTTTCCATTATTACCACTATTTTTTCGGGAGGCAGCAATAGAACCTGATGCATTGGTGCATATTTCCGGAAAAAAATTTGACTTGAAATTTCCGAGACTTATTGGAATCGATAAAAAGCATGTAAAGAAAAGTGTATGGCCTCTTGGATATATTCTATTAATTTTTACTTTCCCGTACACGGAGTAATATACGTAGAATAGGGAAAGTTAAGTGATGCTATGGAAACCGTTTTAGGGTCCTCTGATACCGAAAAAAGGTTTTTTTCAAAACGTCCGTTCGGTGTCTGTGAACACTTCTAGCACCTAAACAATGCGTAGGATTTTTCCAAATTGAAGAAATCCGTGTCGATCTGACTCAAATCGAATCTTTGAGATTTCGAAAAATATTGTTCAAAATTTGGGGGTACTTTTCATGAAGTCCCCTGGACATTTTCAAAATTTTCTTAAAACTGCTCCAAATATTTTTTAAAATTTTTTTGGAAGAATCCACAAATCCAATCACAATAACATCCACTTATAAAGGTAGCATAAGTCCGATTTTCACGGTTAGCTATGAATTTTCGTAATTATCATAAGTGTGATTTTTTTCAGTGTCTTCCTGTAACTACGAAATTGAAGATAGAGATTTTTACTTCACTATAGAGAACAAATTTTAATTGATTTCTTTCATTACGGTCATGTACATTTTTTGAAAAGTTTAGTCGTTTTCGCGCAGTATTGTGTGCAATATGTGAAATTTTTAAAAAAAGGAGAAAACAAGATTTTTTATGAAACGGTTTCATTTTTTTCTTTAAACTTTTGGTTGGGATAGTCCTAAATGTACTTTATAAGATGACATAAAAGTCATATTTCTCTATTCTTTTGTTATTTCAAGAATTACAATTTTTTTTTTTTGACTTCTCATGTCGTTGATAAGAATATATTAGCGGTAATTTGTTCAAATTATTGTATTTATGCGTACATATTCTTAAAAAAGGTTCAAATATGCAAAAAAATCATTTAATCTTCCTCAAAATGTCTAGAACGGATGATGGTAATTACATTCTAATATGACGTAAATTTCGGTGTATTTTTTTTCTTTTTTCAAAAATTAGACAAATGTAAATTGTTTAAAGATCTCTCACGCCCTTGTTATGCACATTTCCAGCAATTTGTAGACACTATGGTATTTTTGACTTTAAAAAGTACTTAAAATTATTTCAAATGAAGTTTTTCGAAAACTCGAAAATTTTCTGTGAAAAAGAGCTTCAAATTTCTAATTTACAGTAGGGCGTAAACGTGAGTTTTTCAAAAGCGGTTCCATATTTTTCCAAAGAAATTGCCATTTGGGAGGAGATTTTACTGTTCTTTATTAATCTTAAAATAATATTTCCACTCTACAAATAGGAAACCGACTAATAAAGAAAAAGTCAAAAATGTTTTCTGCTGTGTTTGTCTATTGTTTTCAAGCATTTCAGAAGTAAGAATAAAATTATCATCGGAGGGATTCAATGATTGGAAAAATGCACATACCAAATTAAAAGAACGTGAGAATTCTACATGTCATAGAAACTGTACGTCCGCATTGAAAAATAGACAGCGGACTGAAAACCAAGTGAATAAGCAGCTGCTTGAACAAGTTGAAACCGAGGCAACTTATTGGAGAAATGTTCTTGAGCATGTCATTTTAGTAATAAAAACTCTTGTTTCAAGAGGGCTTCCTTTGAGAGGACATGTCGAAAAGTTTAGAAATAATCAAAATGGTAATTACATGATGTTGCTTGAGTTAATTTCGAAATATGACCACTTCTTAGCAAATCACATACAAAAACTTGGTAACTGCGGAAAAGGAAATACATCGTACTTATCCACCACGACGGTTGAAGAACTAATAGGTATATTAGCTAAAGCAGTTAAAGATGAGGTTCTCCGAAACATTCAAAGTGCCAAGTATTTTTCCATAATTGTGGACTATACACCAGACATAGCACACGTGGATCAACTCGCTATAGTTATTAGACATGTGGGAAAAGATGGTACACCAAAAGAGTCATTTTTGGAATTCCTTCCAAAAGTTCAAAAAATTCCTTTCATCTTTCCAAAAACAGGCCATAAATCAAAGGAGATGTTCGGCGCTGTATGTAATTTTATGGAGATTAACGAACTGGACATCAATAATTGTCGTGGTCAGTCACAGGTCTTCAAGCCCGTATGAAAGATATAAATGCTCTAATTGAATTCATCCCCTGTTCTGTCTATTCTTTAAATTTAGTTGGTACAAATGCAGCTGAATCAGGCACTGAAGCATGTACTTAGTTTCTATTTCTACAAAATTTATATAATTTCTGTAGTGCATTTACATCAGGTGGGACATACTTCAAAATTTAGTAGATGAAGGATCCTGTACATCCTCTTTGAAAAGTCTTTCAATTACGCGGTGTTCATCTCGAGATAATGCATGTCAGGCTCTAAAACATCGTTGGCAAAATGTTTTAGATGCCCTTCAAAGTATACCTGATGATTCTACACAAAAACCGTCAACGCGTGCAGAAGCTAAGGTATTATTGTTGCTTTAAATCGACTTGAAACTGCTATTACGACCGCGGTTTGGGGATTCATTCTAGACCGCTTGAAAGCGTCGAACAAACAAATGCATAATGTCGATATCGATTTAAGTTCCTTGGTTAGTATTTACACTTCGCTTGTAGAACTTTTAAAAATGAACAGAGACAATTTTGAATTTTTTGAAGAGAACGGTAAGAACCTGTTAAATACTGAAACGTGCGAAGCGGAAAACAAAAGAAAAAGGAAACGTAAAATGCAATGTAATGAAACTAACGAGAATGCAACAGAACTGACCGCACGAGGGAAGTTTAAAATCGACACTTATTTGGTTATTGTTGATAAATTACTTGCAGAATTGAATAAGAGACTTGAAGCGTATAAAGATGTATATGGCAAATTTAATGCTGTCATTGAAATAGAAAAATTATCTTTGCTAGATCTGGAAAAAGCAGCGATACTTTTATGTTCACAATTTTCCCAAGATCTTGAAGAATCGCTTGTTTCTGAGCTTATACATTTAAGTTCGTACTTAAATTCATTGACGAAGATGTTAAGCCAACGAATCCTGCAGCTTTATTAAAGTGGTTACGGAAAGAATAATTATAATATATTTATCCTAACGTTGACATTGCACTTCGAATCTTTTTATGTATTCCGGTGGCCAATTGCACAGCAGAACGTTCATTCTCTTGTTTAAAAAGGATTAAAAATTATTTGCGTTCTACAATGACAGAGTATCGACTGAACTCCTTAGCGTTATTGTGTATCGAAGAAAATTATCTCAGTGTTTTAGATTATACTATAATTATTGATGAATTTTTCTCACCAAAAGACACGTCGCAAAATTTTACATCAATAGACAAATTAGCAATAATTAATAAAACGTTATTTCAAGTGTAAAAAAACATCCAAAAAGTAAAAATTCCTTGTTTATAATGGTAAATCGAAACAACTGTTACAACGTCGAAATATTCTAATCGTTGTTGTAATTAAAAATCTATCATACTAATATTTTATGATGGCCAAGGGACCAAGTTGTGCGTTCACACTCACCTGTGGAACGTTGTCGGTGAGGTGCATCGAATTATGCCGTTATCATAACGTTCCGTGAAAAAAAAGTGAGGGAAATTAAACACTGGCCCACTAATGTCCATCTTCATTATAGAGGAAATGAAGTGAAAAGGCTTGCTACCAGATTTAAACTGAATGAGAGGCATTTACAGGCTTTCGAGAATATAGTTGAAGGCATTCCCGAACATCCCACTTGAAGTTAAAAATTTTAAAAAAATCATGATTGCAAGAGGGGATTATCGCAGATTAATTTAATTGTAACCGCGTTGAAAATTTTTTTAATAGAAACCGTATTCAGTTTATTTTTAAATTTAACGGCTCTCCTCTTCGCCTATTTGATACATCCAATTACGACGATTTGTGGCACACGTGTGGCCGTCATTTTGACTTATATACGTTCTAAAAGTAAGGAAATATGAAGAAAGAATCAGCAAGTCAAAAAGTTGTTGGAATTGTGAAAAGCTTTATAAACTGCGTATTGTTATTTTCTCGGTACATAATATATTACTGCCTCTGAATCTTCAATTAAATGAAACCATTTAACACGAATAGAATGTATGATTAGATTATAAGTACCTATATAACACACACACATGTGTACGCACCCCAGTATTAAAAGAGGGTCGTAACTTAAAAAAGGTGATTTTTCATGAGAGCAATTTAAAGGTTTGAAATATCAAATTTTTTGATGAAGCATAAACATCGCCAATAATTGACCAAAAGAGTCCTCTAGTCTTCTAGAAAATTATTCTAGGGCGCAAGAGCATGAAATTTCATTTCAAATCATGTAACTCAAAATTAATTTTTTAGATACAACCGTTGTCTGCTGGTTGTGCGATAACACGATATATATATATATATATATATATATATATATATATATATATATATATACTGACGTAGTTGTCAGTGTTAGAATG